TCACCTCATCACTTCCAAGTGATGTGATGAGGTTTTTCGAGCTCACCTCATCACTTCCAAGTCATGTGATGAGGTTTTTCGAGCTCACCTCATCACTTTGAAGCCTCATCACATCACTTCGAAGACTCTTCTCATCACTTCCAAGTGATGTGATGAGGTTTTTCGAGCTCACCTCATCACTTCAGTGATGTGATGAGGTTTTTCGAGCTCACCTCATCACTTTGAAGCCTCATCACATCACTTCGAAGACTCTTCTCATCACTTCCAAGTGATGTGATGAGGTTTTTCGAGCTCACCTCATCACTTTGAAGCCTCATCACATCACTTCGAAGACTCTTCTCATCACTTCCAAGTGATGTGATGTGGTTTTTCGAGCTCACCTCATCACTTCGAAGTGATGTGATGAGTTTTCGAAGCTCACCTCATCACTTCCAAGTGATGTGATGAGGTTTTTCGAGCTCACCTCATCACTTCCAAGTGATGTGATGAGGTTTTTTCGAGCTCACCTCATCACTTCCAAGTGATGTGATGAGGTTTTTCGAGCTCACCTCATCACTTCAAGTGATGTGATGAGGTTTTCGAGCTCACCTCATCACTTCCAAGTGATGTGATGAGGTTTTTCGAGCTCTCCTCATCACTTCCAAGTGATGTGATGTGGTTTTTCGAGCTCACCTCATCACTTTGAAGCCTCATCACATCACTTCGAAGACTCTTCTCATCACTTCCAAGTGATGTGATGAGGTTTTTCGAGCTCACCTCATCACTTTGAAGCCTCATCACATCACTTCGAAGACTCTTCTCATCACTTCCAAGTGATGTGATGTGGTTTTTCGAGCTCACTTCCTCCTCATCACTTCCAAGTGATGTGATGAGGTTTTTCGAGCTCACCCCATCACTTTGAAGCCTCATCACATCACTTCGAAGACCTCTTCTCATCACTTCCAAGTGATGTGATGTGGTTTTTCGAGCTCACCTCATCACTTCCAGTGATGTTAGGTTTTTCGAGCTCACCTCATCACTTCCAAGTGATGTGATGGGTTTTTCGAGCCTCATCACTTCCAAGTGATGTGATGAGGTTTTTCGAGCTCACCTCATCACTTTGAAGCCTCATCACATCACTTCGAAGACTCTTCTCATCACTTCCAAGTGATGTGATGTGGTTTTTCGAGCTCACCTCATCACTTTGAAGCCTCATCACATCACTTCGAAGACTCTTCTCATCACTTCCAAGTGATGTGATGAGGTGTTTCGAGCTCACCTCATCACTTCCAAGTGATGTGATGAGGTTTTCGAGCTCACCTCATCACTTCCAAGTGATGTGATGAGGTTTTTCGAGCTCACCTCATCACTTCCAAGTGATGTGATGTGGTTTTTCGAGCTCACCTCATCACTTTGAAGCCTCATCACATCACTTCGAAGACCTCTTCTCATCACTTCCAAGTGATGTGATGTGGTTTTTCGAGCCCACCTCATCACTTCCAAGTGATGTGATGAGTTTTCGAGCTCTCCTCATCACTTCCAAGTGATGTGATGAGGTTTTTCGAGCTCACCTCATCACTTCCAAGTCATGTGATCAGTTTTTCGAGCTCACCTCATCACTTCCAAGTGATGTGATGAGGTTTTTCGAGCTCACCTCATCACTTTGAAGCCTCATCACATCACTTCGAAGACTCTTCTCATCACTTCCAAGTGATTTGCTGAGGTTTTTCGAGCTCACGTCCATCACTTTGAAGCCTCATCACATCACTTCGAAGACTCTTCTCATCACTTCCAAGTGATGTGATGTGGTTTTTCGAGCTCACCTCATCACTTTGAAGCCTCATCACATCACTTCGAAGACTCTTCTCATCACTTCCAAGTGATGTGATGAGGTTTTTCGAGCTCACCTGATCACTTTGAAGCCTCATCACATCACTTCGAAGACTCTTCTCATCACTTCCAAGTGATGTGATGAGGTTTTTCGAGCTCACCTCATCACTTTGAAGCCTCATCACATCACTTCGAAGACTCTTCTCATCACTTCCAAGTGATGTGATGAGGTTTTTCGAGCCCACCTCATCACTTCCAAGTGTTCTCATCAGGTTTTTCGAGCTCTTCCTCATCACTTCCAAGTGATGTGATGAGGTTTTTCGAGCTCACCTCATCACTTTGAAGCCTCATCACATCACTTCGAAGACTCTTCTCATCACTTCCAAGTGATGTGATGAGGTTTTTCGAGCTCACCCCATCACTTTCAAGTCATGTCATGAGGTTTCGAGCTCTCCTCATCACTTCCAAGTGATGTGATGTGGGTTTTTCGAGCTCACCTCATCACTTCCAAGTCATCTGATCAGGTTTTTCGAAGCCTCTCCTCATCACTTCCAAGTGATGTGATGAGGTTTTTTCGAGCTCACCTCATCACTTCCAAGCCTCATCTCATGAGTTTTCGAGCCTCATCCTCATCACTTCCAAGTGATGTGATGAGGTTTTTCGAGCTCACCTCATCACTTCCAAGTGATGTCATGAGGTTTTTCGAGCCTCACCTCATCACTTCCAAGTGATGTGATGAGGTTTTTCGAGCTCACCTGATCACTTCCAAGTGATCTCATCAGGTTTTTCGAGCCTCTCCTCATCACTTCCAAGTGATGTGATGAGGTTTTTCGAGCTCACCTCATCACTTCCAAGCTGATCTGATCAGGTTTCGAAGCTCTCCTCATCACTTCCAAGTGATGTGATGAGGTTTTTCGAGCTCACCTCATCACTTCCAAGTGATGTCATCAGGTTTTTTCGAAGCCTCTCCTCATCACTTCCAAGTGATGTGATGTGGTTTTTCGAGCTCACCTCATCACTTTGAAGCCTCATCACATCACTTCGAAGACTCTTCTCATCACTTCCAAGTGATGTGATGAGGTTTTTCGAGCTCACCTCATCACTTCCAAGCTGATCTGATGAGGTTTTTCGAGCTCACCTCATCACTTCCAAGTGATGTGATGAGGTTTTTCGAGCTCACCTCATCACTTCCAAGTGATGTGATGAGGTTTTTCGAGCCTCTCCTCATCACTTCCAAGTGATGTGATGAGGTTTTTCGAGCTCACCTGATCACTTTGAAGCCTCATCACATCACTTCGAAGCCTCTTCTCATCACTTCCAAGTGATGTGATGAGGTTTTTCGAGCTCACCTCATCACTTCCAAGTGATGTGATGAGGTTTTTCGAGCCTCACCTCATCACTTCCAAGTGATGTGATGAGGTTTTTCGAGCTCACCTCATCACTTTGAAGCCTCATCACATCACTTCGAAGACTCTTCTCATCACTTCCAAGTGATGTGATGAGGCTTTTCGAGCTCACCTCATCACTTTGAAGCCTCATCACATCACTTCGAAGACTCTTCTCATCACTTCCAAGTGATGTGATGTGGTTTTTCGAGCTCACGTCATCACTTTGAAGCCTCATCACATCACTTCGAAGCCTCTTCTCATCACTTCCAAGTGATGTGATGAGGTTTTTCGAGCTCACCTCATCACTTCCAAGTGATGTATGAGGTTTCGAGCTCACCTCATCACTTCCAAGTGATGTGATGAGGTTTTTCGAGCTCACCTCATCACTTCCAAGTGATGTGATGAGGTTTTTCGAGCTCACCTCATCACTTTGAAGCCTCATCACATCACTTCGAAGCCTCTTCTCATCACTTCCAAGTGATGTGATGAGGTTTTTCGAGCTCACCCTTTAACCCCACTCATCTTTTAAACTCTTCTCATCACTTCCAAGTGATGTGATGGGTTTTTCGAGCTCACCTCATCACTTTGAAGCCTCATCACATCACTTCGAAGCCTCTTCTCATCACTTCCAAGTGATGTGATGAGGTTTTTCGAGCTCACCTCATCACTTTGAAGCCTCATCACATCACTTCGAAGCCTCTTCTCATCACTTCCAAGTGATGTGATGAGGTTTTTCGAGCTCACCCCCCTTTCCCCTCCCCCCCCCCTCATCACTTCCAAGTGATGTGATGAGGTTTTTCGAGCTCACCTCATCACTTTGAAGCCTCATCACATCACTTCGAAGCCTCTTCTCATCACTTCCAAGTGATGTGATGAGGTTTTCGAGCCCACCTCATCACTTTGAAGCCTCATCACATCACTTCGAAGCCTCTTCTCATCACTTCCAAGTGATGCGATGAGGTTTTTCGAGCTCACCTCATCACTTTGAAGCCTCACCACATCACTTCGAAGCCTCTTCTCATCACTTCCAAGTGATGTGATGTGGTTTTTCGAGCTCACCTCATCACTTTGAAGCCTCATCACATCACTTCGAAGCCTCTTCTCATCACTTCCAAGTGATGTGGAGTGGTTTTTCGAGCTCACCTCATCACTTTGAAGCCTCATCACATCACTTCGAAGCCTCTTCTCATCACTTCCAAGTGATGTGGAGTGGTTTTTCGAGCTCACCTCATCACTTTGAAGCCTCATCACATCACTTCGAAGCCTCTTCTCATCACTTCCAAGTGATGTGGAGTGGTTTTTCGAGCTCACCTCATCACTTTGAAGCCTCATCACATCACTTCGAAGCCTCTTCTCATCACTTCCAAGTGATGTGATGAGGTTTTTCGAGCTCACCTCATCACTTTGAAGCCTCATCACATCACTTCGAAGCCTCTTCTCATCACTTCCAAGTGATGTGATGAGGTTTTTCGAGTTATTTCTCATCACTTCCCTCCCCCGCTCCCCCCAGCCGCCTATTGGGCAAGAGACGCTCTGGACTGTAGCCCAAGGAGTGTACCGATACACTTTGGATTGACTATAGCTCTTTTTGCAGTCTATAGCCTCGTTCTTCTCTCTCGCACTCTCTCTCTTTCTTTCTCTCGCTCTTTCCCTCTCTATGGGATTCTCATGCTTTCTTCGTCCGCGTTTTGGAAGAGGGATTTTGCTTTATTTTGTAGGACGGCGACAAATATGATCACAAGTATGGGCAGTAGATATCAAATGAGCATAAAACTTTAATTAATCGGCTTTCTTTCGTCTTTATTGATCCTCTTCGGCATCCGGCGTCCCAAATTCGCGTTGGCTCCAGTCGGCGTAATGGCACACATTGCATTTACCTAGAAGGGTCGCGTTTCAAAAACGGCAATGAGGACTCACGCCACGGCTTGCAGTAGCAGATCCCGGCCCGTTCTTCGTAGCATCTCAGCACCTTTCTGGAATGGTTGTTTAGGGACCACCAGGATCGACAGTTGACTAGGCTTGGCTTAGGCTTGGCTTAGGCTTGGCTTAGGCTTGGCTTAGGCTTGGCTTAGGCTTGGCTTAGGCTTGGCTTAGGCTTGGCTTTGGCTACGTCGAAAAGGTCCCCACTTGAAGATCTGTACGTGCCGGGAGCATGCAGCTGCCCGGAAGTGTGTGCTGACCTTGGTGACGCGCTTGTCTGTGCACATGATGCAGATGCCGTCCTATGTCCACCGGTAGGAGGTATATCATGTTCCCTTTACCACGTATGTGTACTTGGTGGGTGGACGGCCGGCCTTCTTCGTGTCGCGCAGCGGATCGATAGCGTTGGCAGGCCTGTTCGCGTCGGGGGCCTAAAAAATTGAATGGCAAGGATATTCTTTGATCATTTTTTGGTTCTTGTGCATTTCCGGGGGGCGGGGGGTCCTCAGGGGGGGACGAACTTCTTTGGTTAAGTCTTGAAATACCTAGTGAGTGAACAGAAGGGGTTTTAGTAGGGGTTTTGGCAATCGACAGCTCTATTTAAACTGTAAAACTAGCTAAAAACGTTACAAAACGTTGCAAAAGGTCGAAATTTTGGTCAAGAAACGGCTTTGGCATTGGTCGAGAAATCGATATGTTTGATGTTTTTTTACAGAAATTGGTTTTCCCGTGTAGCTATAAATAACCCTATAGAAACACTGTGACTATCTATATTTGATAATGATATCGTAGAAAAATTGCCCCCCCCCCGGAAATGCCAAAGGGCCTATTTTTTTAGATAATTTCCACATACATCAGGATAGTCCGGCGCGACCAAGATCTCGTCATCAACAGCTTGTTCATCGTGTACTGCGGGCATTGCTCGGACGGCGACTGGTGGGTGCTGGTCTACCACTGGATCCACAGGACGCTCAGCTTCAGCGGGTCCAGCGGTAGGTGGGGCCGCATCGCCCACGTCCTCGACTTCGCCCCGCAGTCGGCGATCAATGGCCTCGAGCGCGTGGTTGACCTAAAGAAATCTTTTTTGCCACAATTTTTTTATACACTACATTACTTTGATCTCAAAATCGGGCCCGTAGGCTATTTTAAAACGTGGAAACTTCACAAATTCTATCGAAAAAAAAATACAAAAAAACACCAATTTTGGATCAAAAAAGGCCGATTTGTTACCAAAACGTTTTGCTAAACACCTCCTCGCTTTTTCAAAATTTTTTAAACGTTTTTGGATAGTTTTCATATTCTAAATATAGCTGTATATTGCTAAAAAACCTATTAAAACATTTTCTATTAACTTACTGGGAATTTCTCGACTTATAAAACAAAAGTTCCGTCCCCACCCCCCGATAATGCAAAAGAACCCAGATCGAGAGAAAGAGAGAGAGAGAGAGAGAGAGAGAGAGAGAGCCCACAATGAACATCGTCGCGCGTTCCGACGGATTGCGGGCCCAGTCCTGCTCAGAGATGACATCGAGCACATCCTGGTTGGCCGTGGGGGGGAAGGATGTTGGCGATTTCCCCGTCCGGGACGCCGGCGTAGGGCTCTTCACGTGCAGCCCAGAAAATTTCCCAGACTAAATGAATTGATAGAGGTTGTCAGAACATCGAAGTTCAGAATGTCGAAATTAACAGTGTTTTTGAATTATGTATGCGAGAATTGGTACTGGCCGGTTAGCGGGGGGCGGCAGTGGGAAACATTTTTTGTTTTCCACCTACACCTGTATAAAGTATTTTCATAGTGTTTTTAGTAGCTTTTGATCGCTAGGCAATGATCAAAATAGTTCAAAAATTCTTGAAAATTGGAAGTGTTTAGCCTTTTTTTTGATCCCTTTCGTGCATTTTTGACTAAAAAACAGAAACTTGCGAGCATTTTTATGATTTTTATAATGTCTTTATTTCTAAAATCTATGTAAAATGCGATAGAAATAGTTTATATTTTGTTCTACGGTCGTGGAGAATCATAGGGAAAAATTTGGCTCCCCTTCCCCGCTAAAAATCCCCCCCGCTAGCAGTCTAGTTCCGAAAATTTTTCGCTATTATAGAATTCCGACACTAAGAGATTTCGCCATTAGGGGGAATTGTGAGGCGTTCTAATGATACCGAATTCAGTCCAGTTACCCAGTTACCCACCGAGTACGCCAAAGCTCCATACGTCGCTCTGCGGCGTGTAGACGAGGGTTTGGAGCGTGTCGGGGGCCCGTCGCACGGGGCGTGGATTCGGCGTGGCGGGTCGCTTTCCCAGATGTGCCATTTCGAAGTCGCTGAGCTTGATCTAAATAGAAGCTATGAAAGCGGGAGAGAGAGATAGAGTGAGCGAGAGAGAGAGAGAGAGAGAGATAAAGAGAGCAAGACAGAGAGAGGGATAGAGCGAGAGAGAGTGAGAGAGACTCACGCGCTCCTCTCCGGTTAGTCCCTTGCTGACGATGCAGCCGCTGGCCGCCAGCTTGCAGAGGATGATTTCTTCTTCGTGCAGGTAGGCCACGCCCCGGGCTATCTCCTAAATCAACCGGGTTATCGAGCGGAAGGGGGTTTGGGTTTCGGGTGCTGGCCTCTTAGCGGTGGGCCGCTTGCTTTTCCGTTTTAAAAATCAGAAAGTTTGAAAAAATTTGGTTTTGAGCGAAGCTTCGAACCTTTTTATGAGTTTTTGTAGGCTTTTAGATCTAGAAGCTAGGTAAAATGGTACCATGATAAAGGTGATTGGGCGTCTTCCGGGACACGCGTAGTTTGCAGATGTTGGTCGAGGCGTGTCCGCAGCAGTAGCTCGTAGATGCACAGCAGCTGGGTCGGCTCGACGACGACGCCGTGGAGGGGAAAAATGTTCGGGCTGGAGAGGCTGTGGAACAACCGAGCCTCTTCGATTCTTTCTTGAATCTAAATGACGGTATTTAGCGGGGGCAGCAATGACCTGATAAATTATTTTAACGAGGAAACGATTACGATCTATTGCCATGGCTTAACGAACTGCCACGGACTTGGCGTGGCGCGCGAGCTTATTGGAGCTGTTTTGGCTTAGCGAGCTTAGCTTAGCGAGCTTAGCTTTGCGGGCTTACCTTCCCAGGCTAAGCTTTTCCGGATTCGGCTTAACAGAATGCTACTGACTTAACGTAACGGGCGAGCTTATTGGAGCTGTTTTGGCTTACAAGGAGACGTTTTTGAGTGTCGTCGGGACTTTGGCACGTGACCAAGCCTATCTTGTGCAGAATTTTGCGCTGATTCCGAATATGTTAACTTTTTGCAGAATAGCCATTTCTCGAAAGTTATGAACGATTGAAACCTCAAAACAGCCCAAAATCGACTACTTCCGATAGTCATAAAAGGCTTCGGAATAGGTTTTAGACAAAACCAGATAGTGCATCTTGTTCAGAAAAAATTCTCTATAAAATAAGCTACTTAACTCAAAAATGCTGGAATTTTGAAAAGCCATTTCTCTCCTCTGGTGAGAAATGGCTAAAAAAATCTCTTTGAAAAAAAATTAGATTTTTTACCCGAAAGGACTATGCAGATCCCAAAATAAATTGAAAATTCAAAGTATATGAAAAATCGAGGAGTAAACGTAATTTATTGTAAATGGTGTGTTATCCGAACAAAAACTTTCAAAAGCGAAAATTTTTTTGGAACGGATAGTCATAGGTTGTTGGACAAGGGAGGGCTCCATGCCCAGTAAGAAAAATTTTTTTACGGTGAAGTTATGTTGTCTGCGCATCAGATGAGTTAAACTAATGCGTAAAAAGCTATTCAAGGCCTTCAGAAAGTAAAGAGGAACCTTCGGACGAAAAAGCAAAAAATAAAAATCGTGAGCGGGTTCGAAACCTCGTTAGATTCCCCGGAGCCCGCCTACTACACCACTAGGCCACCAGACGACCACGGTGTTGGGGGAGGCGGGGAAGGCCTATGAAGCTACGGCGAAAATCTTGCAAAATGTATGCAAAAACTTAAAATGCTTATAACTCGGCGTGGTTATTGTATCAGCAGCTGAAAGTTACACCAATCGATTTGTCTCGTCGAGCTCTATAAGTGTGCAAATTTTCAAATCCGAATTCGATTCCCAGCTGAGACCATCTCCTTGTTAGCTTAGCGAGCTAATTTTCGGATGCTTAGGTTCCAGGGCTAAGCTTCCAAGGCTTTGTTTAGCTTTCGAGCGGCAAGCTTTCGAGAAATCCAGAGCAAAACAAAATAATAGTTCAGACTTGTCGATTCCCTTAAGAAAAATGGTAGTGCCCTCACTTTCTCTTTGGAGAAATCCGAGTGGTGCATGACGATCACCGATACGGAAAGGTCGTCATCGGTGCCCCTCCTCCATTTGCCGTAGTGTAGAACACCGAATTCGCCTAGAGCAAAGGAATGACTAGCTTAACTTTTGAATATCTAGGAAACTTGAAGAGATTTACAAAAATTCGAAATTTTGGCCTTTTCTGGAAATTTTCCGGGTTCTGTAACTTTGTTACGTTTAGGATTAGCAAAAACAGCTGCAGAGATGTGTCGAAAATCACGAAATTTCCGAAAGGCAAGACATGAACAAAAATGGTTCTGGACTGTTAGCGGGGGGGGGGGACGGCAGCAGGGAAATCGCAAAAATCCCGAGCAAATAGCGAAAAGATGGAAGATTCCGCGAAGCATATGAGAATATGAAGCATCAAGCCAAATGCTATAGAAATGGTATTTTGTTCTAGGGTCGTGGAGAATCACAGGGAAAAATTTGGCTCCCCTCCCCGCTAACAGGCCAGAACCAAAGAAATTAGGACTATGCATTTTCCTCACTATGATGACATATTCCCACCTTGTTTCAGTTTTCGGCTCAGCTTGACGGTGTCGGCCCGGAGAATCCAGGGGTTGGGGAGCATCATGTCCGGGGCGGCAAATGTCGTCGCCGGGTGGACGAACGCCAACGCCGGGCGACACGAACCAGTCCTTATTAACTCCTTTAACGATACTCGATTTTGGTGCGTACGGGAATTCAAATTTATTGTAATAATCAGAATTCAAATTAGGTATGCAAATTGTACGCGGCGGGGTAAGTTCTCTCTCACTCCCCCTCACACACTCACTCTCTCCCTTTTTCTCGCTCTCTCTCTTTCTCGCTTGCTCCCTTTCTCTCTCTCTCTCTCTCTCTCTCTCTCTCTCTCTCTCTCTCTCTTTCTCTCTCTCATTCTTTATCTAACTCTCTCATTCTCTCTCGCGCTCTCTCTTCTCTCTTTCTCTCTCATTCTCACATCCCGCACTCTCCCTTCCTCGCTCACTCGCTCACTCTCTCACACTCTCTCACTCTCTCTCTCACTGTCTCTCTCTCGGCTGCGTGCATTTAAATTTCCCTCAAATATAATAGCATCATCTTTATGTGCATATATATCATTTCACCCGTCTTATACAACAGCGGTGGGTATTCTTCAACATTAAAAAGCACCCACAATAAATACTCGTGTCACTCGTTGACTGGGTACCCGGCAAAAGAATGTACGAGCAAATCATCATTGCATATTTTGGAGGGCCGAAACAATGTACAGACAATAAATGCATTCATGTAATAAAGGTGTATAGAAATCTGGATAAAGCTGAACTTGGCGAGGACGTCGTGTTGGTTTGTGGGTTGAGTATCAGGGAACGGGGAGGGCGGAGATCATCGACGCGGTATGACTGGAGAGCAGGATTTGGTAGGGCTTGCAGAGGGCGAGGAGGGCGACTGAAAATAGTGGATTAGAAATGGATCTTGAGGTAATTTAAAGTACGTTAGGCTACGTTACGCTCCAATACTTTTCCTAAAGGGGTATGGAGTTCACTCTGTCTCCGACCTGGCCCATTAGGCGACCGGCGCTTCCTTAGAGGACAGGCTGGGATTTCGAGGTGGTGCCCTGTGGCCTAGAGGTAAGGGTCCGGCACCAGCAGGTTTGACCTCGAGGGTTCGAGTCACGAGCGAGGCGAAGCTTTTTGCTTTTTTGGTAAAACAAGGAATTTGATGGCTTAATTATTAATCTAGATTGCTTTTTTAATTTACTATGAAAGCTGGGAACTCAGCAAGAACGGCCGGAAAAAAAAATTGGAAGAATTTTCTAAACTGGGCTCAGGGCTTGAGGTATAATCAAGCGTTTTTAGTCCCAAGTTTAATGAAACCATTTTGATATGTTTTCATAAACAATTCTCACCTCAAAATGTCGCCAAAGCAGCCGTGGAATCGAGCGGAAAGGCCATCAAAAATGGCCAAATCGGCAGCCGGGTTACAGCATCAAATCCGAGAACGAGTCGATGCGGTCGAAAACGGCGACAACGGTGTACATGGTAGCGGAGTGGAGCTTGGAGCTTTTGAGAGTAGAAGGAGGCTTTTGAAGCTTGAGGGCTTTGGTGGAGACTGTTAGACGGGGAGGGCTTATATAGACTCGCGGGGGGCGGAGCTTGGTGACTCACGAGGGGGCGGCGAGTGAAGGGAGAGAGAGGCGCAGAGAAAGAAAGTGAGACGGGGTGGGGCGGAGCTTGGAAAGAGTTGGCCGATTGCCTGCCCCCACGTGGGGGTGTATGATTGATGATGCAATTTGGTAAGGGGAAGGTTTGGAACTGTAGAAGACAATGACGTCACGGGGTAAGTTTGGACTATAGAACGGCTCACGTTTGGCGAGAGACTAGGAGATCAGAGCTCAATTACCGGGAGAACAGGGAGGGGATCGGGAAGCAGGCATAGATGGTTTATGGTAGGGTTTTGAGAGAGAGAGCGAGAGGGAGAGAGAGAGAAATTGTTGACTAGTTTAGCGTGTTTAAAGGTACCATCAAGGAAAAATCGTACGAAGAGCGTTAGTGGGAGACAGAGAAAAAGTTTGGCCTGGGGGTGAGGTGCGGGAAGGTGGTGGAGAGAGTCGAGGCGGGGGGAGAAAGAATGAGCGAGAACTTTAAAGGAACCAGCAAGGGAAATACAACAAACCGTGGGAGCTAAAGCTAGCCAGTGAGAAGGAGAGATAGAGAGAGACAGAAAGCGAGATAGAGAGAGAGAGCGGAAAATTCTTAGAAAATACGTCACTAGAGACTCTCTAACAGCCACACTTAATCCCAAAATTTCCAAGTTTCTATTCAACTACAGTTTTTCACCCCGTCACCCTTCACAAACTACACCAAATTCCAAATGACAGTCTTCGTTCGTTCATTATCACCGGGCTATGGGCGGCCGAGGTGTTGCGATGATGCAAAGCGGAAAGGGAAGGAAGGGGTCCGGCGGGAAAGGGTGTCTGTTTTCGCAGATGGCCATGTGAGCCCCCCCCCCCTTGTGCTGATGCTAGACTACAGCTCGCGCAAAGTATCCTACGATTTGCACAATTCTTTGATTGTTTTAGATGTAGTTGACAGGGATGACTAGAAGGAACAAAGTATCGCACAAAATAATATTATTCGTTTTGAAAATTTTCGAGAAATTTAGGTTTTATGAAAATATAGGGGGATCGCTAGCCATCGACTCAACGCTCTCTCTCTCTCTCTAGCTCGCTCTCACTCTCTCTCGCAAAACCCTTCAACCAAGGTAGCGTTTTTTGCATCTTGACCGTTTTCTGAATCCAAACGCAAAGAACGGTCAACCAGGGCGACACCGAAACCGTAAATTCCAAAAAGCCAGATCAGCCGATTCCGCCTGTTTACAGCGAACACCCAGCACCCACCGTCTGCATTCCCGGGTGTACGGTGTAATCGGTCCCAGAGGGCGTACAATTGGACTCGCGAATTTTTTTACGGATTCGGGGAAATAAGTTAGCCTTAGATTCTAACTTCAATATACCTTTTAAGCGATCAGCTACGCCTAGAACGGCCACAATCTCAAAAAGCTCTTAATTTACTATTGCCTCAGAATGCTATCTGATCTCTCATTCTCTCTCTCTCACTCTCACTCTCTCTCGCTCTCTCTCACTTTCGCCCTCTCTCTCGCTCTCTCTTTCGCCCTCTCTCTCTCTCTCTCGCTCTCTCTGTCTCTCGCCCGACATCGAACAAAATTTCCCCGATCTCGAATCCGGGGTGCTGTAATCGAGATCCGATCCATCCATCCAATTACCGTCATCACACCAGAAGCCAGGACACACATCCTAAAAACCACAAAAAACGACCGTCCGCTGTAGCCCCGCGTAGGCTGTTTACCTACGCGACGCCCCAATAGCCACACGTGCCCCCGTGTGCCAAAACATGACCCAAATCCACCCTGAAAAATGGGCCGCACTGACCGCCGGGAGGTGTCGGGCTGTGTAAAATGTTGTAAAATAGGGCAAAGAGTAGCGCGGAACGTCCCGGAAACTGGGTGGTACTGTAGTACTGTATAGACAGACCGTGTTTTTGTGCCCTTTACGCCGGGCCACAATTTGTCACAACGCGAAGCGCGTCCCGAGGTGTTCCTTGTTGGGAAATCCGCAAATTTATGGCCAATTTTATTTATTTTTTTATTTATTTATTTATTTATTTATTTATTTATTCTGCACAGTGTATGTGCATCGGGGGCGTTGGTTTATTTGTTTGTATCGCGCTCCGCCGCGCACCAATTTCCACGAAAATTTGCGGATCTCTGGAGATGCACGAGGTTGGCGGGGGTGTAATTTTTGCTGCCGAGGGATTGATTAAAGGAACGTGGAAGGCATTAATCGAGATCTTCTCGTTCTGGATTGCATATGGTTTTTCATGTCGGGATTTTCCCCTGACCCCGACAGGATTTTGGCCGGGATTTGGACTGTTGGGATTTTTATTGTCGGTATTTTGGCTTGCAATTGTGATTGTCGGGGTTTTGGCTGTCGGGATTGTTGCTGTAGCAATTTTGGTTGTCGGCATTTTGACCTAACGGCATTTTGGCTGTCGGCATTTCGATCTATCGGTATTTCAGTTTTCGGGATTTTTGGCTGTCGCGATTTTGAGCTATCGGGATTTTGACTGTCGGGAGTTCATTAGCCGAATTTTGCTTGCCGGGATTTTTGCGTCCGATTTTTTTATTTAAGGCCTTTATTTATGATTTTTTGGATTTTCTGTAGCCCCAGAACTTTCCAGAACCCTGACTTCTTGCTTGAGCTGAAATTTCCAGAAAATTCGCGTTCAAAACATTCCTGATTCACCGGAAAAAGCAGGCGATTTCCTGGGCTCGTATTTACACACATTTTTCATCACCGCTCCATGCATCAGCTTCCGTTTTTCGTTGAAATTCGGGAATGCATGATGATGGTCCGAGTCGGTCGTGTGGCGGGCCACCGGAAACGGTTGTTGCTGACTGTCTGTGTTGGTGTCTGAATTGAATGGCCGGCTATTTCCGCGACAAACACTGGCAACGGGCCCCGCCGGGTTTCTTTCGTTGCTAGATGGCGGGGTGATTCTTGCAAAATCCCGGGCGCCCAGGGGCAAAAACACTTTGCGACAGTGTTTGAAATCGGCACGAAATGGCCGAGGGGGGTTTTGAGAATTGAGAATGGGCTGATGGAATACAGGGGAATGTGGTGTCTGAAATATATCTGGTTGATGGCTGGCTAGACAGTGTGATGGATTTCTGGCATCAATAGGGGGTGAAGAGTTCAGCGACAAGCCGTTAGAAGAAATATCAATAGTAGAAAAAAATCCCGTAAAAATACTAAAAGATGAAAATATCTTTATGATTTTCTCAGCCTTGGGCTACGCTAGAGTACTCTGAAGGGCGTTAGAAACCCAAAAGCGCCTTGGTTGCGCTCCGAAAATTCAAAAATTTTCAATTACGGCAGTAGTTTCCATTCCTGGCCTTTTTTAACGTAAACATAATTTTTAAAACACTAAAATTTCCCCAAAAATCGGTTTCTATCACGTATTCTGGGCCCCGTAGACGATTATGACATCAAATTCAACAGAGCAGTCACGAGGCAACTTGACTACAAAAGGTATATTTAAGCTTTATGCCCGATACGTAATTAAAAAGCGTTGAAAATAACAAAAATTTTTAATTGCTTGTTTTTAAAACCAATTACGACATGAAGGTCTCTGCTAGAATCAGGACAAAAATCCATTTTTTTTAAATATTTTAACGAAATAAAGCACAAGTTTTATACCAAACCCTTCCAAAACAGCTATTTACCGGTAAAAATATGATGCCGTAATCGTTTTCGAAATCAAACAGGACGCTCTAGTTTTCTGCAAACCTTGACCCAGCATCGCGCCACTCCCCCAGAAGCCATAAATTTCGAAGAACTTTGCAACACTGGTTGCAAGAATGGCATCATTGGCGCCAGATCGCTCCTAGTTACACAGCCAGCCCCTAGACAACGCCCGGGATACGGTATCCCGGGTGTCAATCAGAAATGACAGCCGATCGAGAGCAGCTGCATGAGGGGTCCTAATTTGATAAGATGGCCCCGTGCGAATTGGCGTGTGAATTTGCCCGGTTCCCAGGGATCAGATCAAAAATGGGAGGTGAGATTTGTCAGTGGCAGGGAGAAATCGAGGGAGAAATTAAGGGGGAAGAATATCCTAATTTAGAAATATGTATTTTAAGACGCTCTAAATGCGATAAAGTTGGAAAAAAGATAGGACAAACCAGCAGAGGTCATTTGCGCATGGAATGCTGTATTTCTGTATTTTTTTGAAGCTTTTGAGGTATCCTAAAGCCATGAAAAAGTCTTTTTTTGTGCACTTAGAGCCGCCCCGTCAGTTTGTCTGGTTCAACGCGTAGCGGTTGCGTCGCGTCATCGGCAGGGAGAGAGCGAGAGAGAGAGAGAGAGAGATGGAGAGAGAGAGAGATGGAGAGAGAGCGAGAGAGAGATGGAAAGAGAGCGAGATCGAGAAAGATAGAGATAGTAAGTAGAAAGAGAGAGACAGACAGACATACAGGCAGACATAGAGAGACCGAGATAGGGCGGGAGTGAGAGAGATTGAGAGAGCGAGAGAGAGAGAAAGCTCAAGTTTATTTTGCACCTATTTTCTAGACGTCACGTAGCAAAACATATTTTCACCTGCAAAAACGCCTGAACGATATTGGAGTCTAGGGATGCGCGCCAGTGCCAGCCAAAAAATGCGCGCGCAGCAAAACTTCCGCCCGACACCCCATTCCCCAGTCTCATCTATCAAAAAAGGGAGACACGATTTCACACCCCCAGCCATTGAGATACCGAGATTTGAGATATGATCTGTTTTCGAGGAAATATTATTATTATTTTCCGCGCGGTATTTCTTTGGCACCTTTGGCATCATACCGTCTGGAGTTGGTAGAGTAGGTAAAGAGATCGCTGGAATGTATCAACAAATTCGTGTGGGCATCAGAGAACGCGAGTTCACAAAACGATTTATTCATAGACGGGGTTTCACTGGCCAAAAATTAACCAAAAACAGGATACGTACATAGAATTTTGCTGGAATCACAGGCAGAGATAGCATTTTCAAGGCAATGTTCTTTGGCGGAAATCACAGGTTTCACAGGATAGAGAAGAGAAATATTCACCTTAAAAGCTCTCAAAAAATTTTTGGTAGGAAACAAATACACCAAATTAGCATACGAGCTCACCAGGATAGGGAACAAATAAAATTATGGGCGGGGATGGCGAAAAATCCGGCGAACACGATGCCTACGGTATCCGAGATGGAGACGAAGCCCATCGCGAATTCGCGGCGATCGGCTGGGACCTGGAAAAGGGGAATTAGAATCGGAATAAAAACATGTTTCTATCACTATCGCTCTCTCACTCTCACTCTCACGCTCTCTCTTTCTCTCTCTCTCTCTTCTCACTCTCGCTCTCCCTCCCGCTCTAACTTGCGTTACCTTCCTAATCCCTTTAAAATCTTTATGGAATCTGCCGGCTATGGATTCTCCATAGGCTGGGCCACGCACGCGACACGCAACGCGGCTGTCCGTAATTACACTACGTAATAGATCAGCCCCTCCAAGGCGGCTGAGTGGGTCGCTTCGCGGGTGTGGAGAATCTACAGCAAGCCATAACCAATCAAAATCCATAGCCATCTCTTGCCCGTCCCTTTATTTCCCAAACACGTCCTCCCACCCTTCGAAATCCTACTGTACCTCCGCCCCTACCGCCCGACATCCACTTCCGCCCTGCACTTGCTGGGCCACACCTGTGGAATTCGAAGCTTGCGCCCATCCACCCCTTGTTTTCTCTCCTATCATATCATTTCTCAAAAAAAAACGGGGGTGCACCGCTGTCGGTGGAACTAACAAACAACTACCACCACGACAACGATGCTGACGACGACAACCTGGCGCTGCAGAAACGAGCAGCCAGCTAATTTACGGGATTTCCGGGGAGAGGGGGCCGGGAAAATAAGAAAAGAAAATATTATTGGTCGGAACTAGTAGAAATAACGTCGAAATTTCAAAATGCCGAGATTTCATAATATCGAAATTCAGAATGGCGACTTTTTGCATCGGATTCGGGGGATTTTTCTGGAAAATTAGCTTATGTAAATTTCGACATTATCAAGTTTCGATATTACGAAATTTCGACATTAGGAAATTTCGGCATTTTGAATTTCGACATCATGAAATTTCAAAATCATGATTTTGACATTTGGGAAGGAATCCTTGAAAAAGTGAGCGGAAAGTCCGGTTAGTCAACATTTTTGCGAATTTTTATTACTGGAGAAGTATAGCACATCCTCTTTCGGAATCCGAAGCCACTTCCGGTCCCTTTAAAAGACGACGAAGCTTCTTTAGCAATTTTCTACTCGTTTCCGGCGCCTTTAAATGGCAAGCAGTTATTCTTTAAGAACTCTCACTTCCCAATCCCGATAGTAGACATCGTTCAGAACTGATGCAACCTTGGTCTTTGAACCGAACTATCCACACTACCGTATCCCAGGCTCCATGACGCTCCCCGACCAATCCCGCGCCGCTCCTCACTTTTTGAGGGTCACGCGCCGCCTCTATGCGCTTCTCCAAAAACCAGCTAACCACCAGCCTTGCTAGGGCGTCGAGCGAATGGGGCAAGTAGTGTGAGTGAGATGATTGATTGGGGTGTACGCGACAATACCATACGCGTCACAATTCATGGGGTAGGTGATATCATCATCACCTCCCCCAGTCAGCCAATTGTTGTTGTTGTTTTGGGCCTAGAAATAGTTGACCGCGAGCCCTGAAATAGAAATCGTCTAGCCCGTCATGGTGTCTGTACAGTGCAACTTTTTGCAGAGATGAGATCGGATGCCCGGAAAGCGCAAGTTTAGGCGTTGCTACGTACACGCCTATTTACGCAGAGAGACTGGGGTGAAGGGGGAGACGTAGATGTTTATGGGTGTATACGTTAAACTCCCCGGAGCGTGCCCTTTAAAGGTGGCGCTGAGCTTTGGGGGTTGGGGTTTTTGGTGATTTCTGGATTAGGGGTCGGCAGAAAAGAGCTTAGGCTTGGGGTTATTGAGATTCGGCTTAGTCTTTAGGCTTAGGTTTAGCTTATCTCCAATATCCAAGACATACAGCAAAGAATCTCTGCTAGCCTGTCTCTGCTGAAACAGTTTACTATCATGCAAGGGCAAGCTAGCAGAGCTTCCTAGGGAAGCAGATCCATGGATCTTGGGATCGGTTAGGCAAAACGGCAGTGATTTTTACGGAAATTAGCCGGATCCGATAGCCGATAATTACCCTTCCCCGTCCCTTTAATCGGAAATCCGCAAAGATCCCTGCTAGCCTGCCCCTAAAATAGCCGGATTCGCGCCGTTCCTAGGCAGACTAGCAGAGATTTTTTTGGGCATCGACTTGAACGCATCTCTCTGTCTCTCTCGCTCTCTCTCTCTCTCTCTCTCTCCCTTTCTCTATCTCTCTTTCCTTCCATTCCCTCTACATGTCATTCCTTATGTAATGTGCAACATCAGCCGCACCCAAAATCCACCAGATCTTCATGTGCCTACCCCCGCGGCGCCGCCCGAATTTCATCGCTACCCCCGTGGCCAAATGACGCCGAAACTAGCGCTGTGAACGGAGCGTTCCGGAAAGTACTGGCCATTAATCGCGATACTCCGATATAAACTACCCGGCCTCGACAAAGTGGACGAGTATTTTCCGCCCTTCCCCATTGGGACAATGCGTAGTTTGGAGCTGTGGGGAGCGGTCATAAAATGACTTTTGATAGGGGTATAGGCAGAGAGAGAGAGAGAGAGAGAGAGAGAGAGAGAGGGAGAGCGATAGATATAGAAACAGACAAAAAGCCATCAACGACCGAGAGGAAAACACAGATTTCCCCATCCGCTCCGCCGCCTGCAGCTTTTTTGCACATCTTTTTTATTCTAATGTGTATTGAGTCAGCCGGGAATAGAAATGGGATGATGTTGAGCGGACTGGCGAATTTGAAAATGTTTAGCGAAACAGGGACCGAGCTAAATGCAGCTGGCAACGTAAAAGCATTCTCCAAGTATCTCCGCTAGCTTGCCATATCAGATTAAGATAGCTCAAGCTCCATTCCTTTGAAGAGGGAGTTTTCAAAGCTAGATTCTTGCTAGCAGAGGATCTCGGCCAGACTTCGATAATTTAAGACGTAGTCTAGTCAGAGGTTACGGTACTCGTTGGGGCGCCAAGAGCCAAAATCCATAAAATAGCTGCCTTCCCAGTACACTGAACCTGAAGGTATCGAATACGCCACATAAAAACTCAAATCTCGCTCTCTCTCTCTCTCTCTCTCTCTCTCTCTCTCTCCATTCGCTCGTTTTCCACCGGTCACATGGGTTGGAGCCTAACGTAGTCCAGTTCAAATTACTGATAACTACGCTACACTCCGATCGACGCAAAAAAAAACTCTGTGCCTTCATTTTGTGTCCATAAGGGAATCACAAGTCTCAATCTCCAAGTAAAACCCTTTCATCCTCCCTCACCATCCCAGACCTCACTCCTCACAAATCCCAATATTTCCATGAAAACGGACGAGGCGAAATGGAAATGATCGGAATGGAGGGGCGAGAGTGGAGCTGCCACAAATTCCAACCCCGGGCTGCCGGCTGCACCTCTCTCCATTCCATGCGAGCAGAAATAGCTCAGTCTGCCGCTAAAAATAACCCCTCCACCTCCTCATCGCCACCCCAAAAACGCCTCGATAATTATTCTTAGGCTCAAGGCACAGCAGGGAAAGTGATAGAGCGAGACAGAAATAGAGAACGAGCAAAGAATTTGGCAAATGAGTGGAGAGAGGGAGAGAGAAGAAGAGAGACAAGGAACTGGCTCGTCAGCCGCCCCACCGGAAATGCCAGTGCTTTTCGGGCGGGTGATAGGGCAAGAAAAACGGACAAGGAGGGATGGACGTAAGGAAAAACCTTGGCTTTGTGCTCAAAAATTGAGGGGTCGACCGGAAAAAAAGAACGTTTCGAGAGTCCATAACGATCGTGGTACGATCGGGTCCATTTCCTAAAGAATCTCTGCTAGTCTACATTTCAGGGGCAGCTCGGATTCGACTAACAATGGATCTTTGGTAGCTAGCGCTTCGATTCCCAAGGAATCTCTGCTAGCTGACCCTTTCTATGATCGACTAGCTGACAGTTAGGTCCCTAACAACCTCTGCTATGCCACTCTCATCGATCCCTAGCTTAAGTCGGATACCAAAAGGATCTCTGCGAGCCTGTCTTGGAGCTCATTCCCAAAGGATCTCTGCTAGCTTGCCTTGGAGCCAATTCCCAAAGGATCTCTGCCAGTTAGCCTTGGCGCTCATTCCTAAATCATCTCTGCTAGCTAGCCTTAAAGCTCCTTCCCAGAAACCTCTGCAGGCTTGCCTTGGAACTCATTCCCAAAAAACCTCTGCTAGCTTGCCTTGGAACTCATGCCGAGAGAAAGAGTTCCCTGCTAGCTTATCCTCGACCCTAATTGTTAGACTTACACGATTTCCAAAAGAATAGCTGATCCCTAAAAACGCGCGTTTTTGTACTTTCCGCACCAAACAAACACCCACTGCGAGAAGCGGCCATTTTTTTGCAGCGCCTCAAAAGCCATTAGTGGTTTTTGAGCATCAAAAGAAGGCGAGGTTCGGGCCCAGATTATTTACCAGTGTCTCCACCACGCAGAACGATTGCGGCAAACAGAACCCGCGTCCCGAAATTGTCACAACTGTTCAGCTACCGCCGCCCGCTGAGGGTGAGAAAATGGTGTTCGGGCTGGGAATGTGGTGACGATTGGGGGCGAGAATGGCCTCTGTTTGTACCGGTGCTTTTGTTGGCCCTGCAAGTCAACTAAAGAGGGGGCTAAGGAATGCGGATCGCATTCCGGGGTCCCGGGAGAGTGCCTACCTACCTGGAAGGGGAGGGGTAGGGGGTCAAGAAGTAATTCTAACAATTTAAAAGTTCACAATAATTGAAAAACCTCAGAGATTTGAAGAAATATAGGAAAATACGCCTGGAGGAGCCGGCCCCCCAGCTCGTGCTCCCTCGCGGTCAACTACTAAAAAAAGAGAACAACAACACATATTTTAAATATCTCTGCGCCATTTTCGGCGGCATAACCACGCTGACCACGCACGAACTCGCGGTCCTAAGCCCTTTAAGGGTCGTAAGCTAGGATTTTGGCGAAGCTTTTTCTTAAAGCTCCGCCTTACAGCTTCCTAAAGATCTCTGCCAGTCTGCCTTCTCATCCCCTTTCTGAAACCAGTTATGCCAGGCACCTTTGGTTCCAGAATTACCGTATTTTCATCAAAATAGAACGAATTTTAAATGATCTCTGCCCGTTTGCCTAATCCGATGAGTTTAGAAGCCGATTACGCCATGTAATGCATTTATCTTATGAACGCTATCATTAGCTACATTTTTTTAAACCTCTTGCAATTCCCCCAAAGGGTTTGCTCGGCTGCCTCATTTCCATGATTTTTGGAAACAATTACGCAAGGTAAAGTTTGGTAAACTATTCAGCCCAACGAGTTTGTAGTTTCAACAAAGCGGATCTCTGACCGCCAGCTTTTTGACGTCAGCAAGCCTCTTTGCTGAACAAATTAACGACAATCCTTATTGTTCGACTCTAATGGCCACTAATTAGCATCCTGATCAATCAAGCCTTGACAGGTTCAACGACTGCTGTTTTTCCAGATCCCATTTTTCGTCAAGTTCTAGGCGTTCGCCGAACATCAGCTTCTCCGGCTCAGCAGCCAGCTCGAAAGGCGAACGCCAAAACACAACGCAAATACGCAGTTCCCAATTACGGCCGGTCGAGTTCGGCGAGACTGTTTTTAGGGGTGTCGTGGAAAACTTGAAAATTGCGGAGGTGGCGTGCACAAATCACGCCATACTCTTAAAATCCTGCTGAAATAGGGGGCCATAAACAGACACAAACACTCACACGCGCACACGCAAATACTCAGTCATATAAAACGACAAACGGAAGGAGGAGGCTTGAAAGAAAGAGAGAGAGAGAGACCAGCAAAGAGCAACCGGTGCAGCATAGGCGCATAACATTCCATTCAGATCCTTTCTCTCTCTCTATCTCTCTCTCTCTCTCTCTCTCTCTCTCTCTCTGTCTATTTCGAGAGCGCTGACTCATCACCCCACTTGGCACACGTTTTAGCAAACGGAAGCCCCTGAGGAAGTCGGGAGGGACGGGCTGGAAATTATAGAAAAAACCCTGGATTTGTAGATTTAGGTCTAACCTAACCCTTTATACGATTTCAGTGATTGTCGAGGACATAACGCATCGAAAATTTAAAAGCTTTCCGGAAATTCAAGAAATAAATTTTTATAGCCGCAAAAGGGTTAAATTGTAGATTCTAAATGTCGAAAGACCAAAATTTTCCTTGAATTTTTATGCAAAATAAGAAAAGAAAGAAAATGTGGAAAATAAAACAATTTTGATAAAACCTAAACCTTATTAAAGCGCTTTTTACATCGTTTCATTCCCAAAATTCAGCCTTTACACGGCAAAAATAGCAAAAAAAAACAAGCAACAAAAAACCTAGCTAGATCCAAAGTCCATTCGAAAAAAATCCAGGCCATGAAAATCCGGATTTTCGAAAATTCTGGAAAAAGTATCAATAAAAATTTTCGATAAATGACCAAGGGATACAGACCATCAAAAATATCGCAAAAAAACGCTCCCGGAAACGTTAGTTCGAAATTAAACCACCTCTACCAGTTTCTTCGCTCTAAGACCGATTAGTACGCTTCACACAACCCGACGCTCTAAATTCCAGCGCCTCGTCAGCCCTAGTCTGTCAGTCTATTGAGCCCAAAAAGTCGTGTCCACTTTCTTTGCTCGCCAAAAACTGCCTGCCTCGTCACAAGTGACTCACAAGTCACTAGCCAATGCCTATTGAAATTTGATCTAGTCAGAGGGTGGCCTGTTTTGCCTCCCCGGTTTCGTCACGATCCCCCCAAGTGACACATCGGTGCCCCCGGTTTTTACAAATCGCTACCATTCTCGCGGGCTTTTTTGCGGTGGGCGGCTGTGTTGTGAGCCAAAAATATGACCCTAAAAACGTTGAAACGGCAGCCCTGAGCACACAAAACAACAACGTGTGTCACCGGAAATGGAAACGACATTTGTCAACCCCTCATTCTGAGTAATGCGACCCCCGGAAATTCTTGGTTTAAACTTGAGACTAGGGGTCAAGATTTTTTCGGCAGCTCTCTTTCTCTCTAGGGCCTAAAAATAAATTGACCTACCCTTATTATTTGGGTATTAGAAAGGGCAAAAATCGGGAAGATGAAAATGAACAGCCAAATCTTGATTGATTCTTCAAAAAAGTGGATTGTAGCCCGTAAATCAGAGGCGACAACTCATCAGTAAATCGTGAATTTATAACGACTACTTTTCGAAGCAATCAAGAATCAAGAATTTTAGCTTGGTTAAAAACTGAAGTTGCTTTTAAAATTCTTAAAAAAACATTTGAATTTTTAAAAACACGTTTAAAATTTAAAGCGTTATAAATCGTGCTTTCCTCGGCTGGAAAAAAACTTGCCAATTTATGGACCGCGCGGAACGTGTTGACGTAGGCGGCACCACCTAGGAGACCCTCGTAGAAGATGGCGATGAAGAGGAGCGAGATGTGGGGGACGGTGTGCAGCCACGCGTTTCCCGTGAACAGCGTCGCGTTCAGCAACTGAAAAAAACGTTTGTAACCCATAAAAAATTTGTTGTTTTCTACGGCCTCAGCGCTTTCAAATGCCTATATAATTGCCACATCATAGAAGCTCAGTTTCTATTCTTCTTCCGACTACCGTATTCCCAGCTGTAACCCGAAAAACCCGATTCGAGCCCGTTTGACCCCAGAGTTATTCCAAAACTATCAGGTGATATCGCTGGAGAAGAACAACAAGCTAAAGAAAAGAATGTGCCGCAGCTGCTGCGCGCCAGTTCCCGGTAATATCGGCGCCATGTTTTTTTGCTCGAATGGACGGCTCTGATGATGGATGGTGGGTTATTTGCGCGCCAATCAAAGGCTTCGGGCTTCCGGCCAAGTCGGTGGTAGGTCAGGAGGATGAAAATTGCCCGGGGAAACTGATGAAATTCTGGGGTGTGATCCCATCCTCCCGATGAATCCTAGGCCTTGGTATTTTTTCCGGAAAACCTATGCTTTCGATATTGACGCACCCCCGATACTTTTTGAAATAGCGAAACCCGGATTTTGCTAGGGAATTACCCTGAATCAAGAACCTCGAAGCCGTCGTTAAAAATTCAGTCTTCGTTACCTGCCAGGGGAGATTATTTTTATGGGAATTTTGTAAGATTATTGTATAGAAAATAAGGTTAGAAACTTCGTTAGAACCCCCGGAATCGATTACGAAAAACTAGGATTCGACGAAAGAAAAATTCAATGAAAAATGACTCGGCAAAAGGACGCAAAATCGGCATTCTGTAAATCGGCATTCTGAAAATCGGCATGGTGTAAATCGGCATTATGTAGGTAACCAGTGGAAAAAGTCCGCTTCGCGGCCCTTTTCCACTGGACCCCGTCTAGGACCCATGAATTCTCTTTCCTATGTTTGAAGCCTGCGGCGCAAGAGCCAGAATCAAGGAACCATTATTTGGCCTGCGGCGCACGAGCCAGCGTTGGCAGCCGAGGCCAGCCGAGTATTGAGCCAGCAAACCATTGTGAAAAACAAACATTGGCCGCTCTGTGGAAGCGAAACACAGTTTTTCTGAACAATTTAGCCTTTTTTCCGATGTTCAGAATCGTGGACCATAACTCAGCTAAGGACGGAATTCTATGGTCCACGATTTTGAACGCCGCCAAATTTTGCCCCCACGGCCAAATCTATGGTCCCCGATTTTCACCAAGGGTCCACGATTCTGACTACCGGTCCACGATTTTTTTTAAGGTCCCCGATTTTTTTTAAAGTCCACGATTCCGGTTATGGTCCACGATTTTATTTATGGTCCACGATTCCTTACATGGTCCACGTTACTGGGATAGAGCCGACGGTACTTATTTATCTCACTCTCTTTCTCTTTCTCGCTTTCTCTCAAGCTCTCTGACTAGCGCTCACTTATTCAACTTCTTTCTTTCTTGCGCGCACTCTCTCCCTCTCTCTCGCACTCTCTCACTTAATATCCCTCTATCTCGCACTCTATCACTCTCAGTCTCTCACTCCGTCCCTCTCGCTCTCTCTCTCTCCCGCTCTTTTTCTCGATCTGTCTAATAGATGAATTGCATTAATGACCCTGATCTCTGTCAAAGAACTTGTCGAGGACGTGCCGAGCCCGAACATCAGCCACCACCTCCAGCACATAACCACCATGGGTGGGCTATGTCGATTCGGATTCTTTGTATATCCCATCAATCATAATCCAGCCCGTGGAATTCGGAGCGTGGGTGATGATGGTAGCCAGAAGAGTGAGGGGGTAGAGAGACGTGGGTCTGTCTGTGTGTATGTCTTATGTTTTGACACGGTCGCCGAGTGCGGAATGTGTGGAATGCCCTCCCGCATCACCCGTCCCACACTGCCCACCCGCAGGCGGTGAAGCCTAAGCGGAAACGGTCCTAACAGGGTTCGATTTGGTGGGAGCAGAATCCCAGGACCACCTCCAGAAGGGCTGACCACCTCCAGACCGGCCGCGAAGCGGGCGAAAAATTTTTGCCATATTATATGTGCAGATTAGGGAAAATTTCGGTATTTTTTTGTGTGTTTGGACATATTATTGCGCGTTGAATTTTTGTAATTGTGAAAAAAAAAAGGTTGTGAATAAATGCTGAATTACTTGTTAATATTCGGTGAAACAGTCAAAGAAGACGGAATGGTGACGAAAAGCTGAGGGAGAAGAAGAAATTCCAAAAATAATTCCTGCTAAATTCTCTACATTCTTATTCACCCACCACTTCAACTTCACTTTCGAGAAAATGCAGACTCTATATTATGGAATGGATAATATGGAAGATAAACAACTCCTTCCTATTTCTCAAATCTTTTTCTAAACTATTCATGTTTCTCGGACCAGCTGCATGGCGGACAACGCTTAAACTCTTCTCAGCCGCCTTTAAAGGGACACGGACACGGGACTTTTCCGACCGTAGTTTTCCGGAACCGGTCTGGACCGCCTTCTCACCTACAACAATCGACGTCTTGAGCTTGCGCATCCGCCTATACCCATGAAAGCCATGAAAAGTTTGTTAGACAACCTCCAACCCCCCATTTATGCTAATTTTGGGCCAAAAACGCAGTTTTCCGGATCGAAATTTCCGGAAATGACTCGGATCAATTTCTAACCCACATCAATCGACGCGTCTTTTCTGCCGCATCCGGTGATGCCCATGAAAAGCCATGAAAGTTTGTTAGACAACCTCCAACCCCCGATTTATGAGGATTTTAGGCCAAAAACGCAGTTTTCCGGTCACCGATTTCCGGAATCGGCACGGATCCATTTCTAACCTACACCAATCGATGCGTCTCAACCTGCCGCATCCGGTGATACCCACGAAAAGTCCTAGAAACTTCGTTAGACAACCTCCAACCCCCTATTTGTCCAGGTTTCAGCTGCTCCCACGTTTGATCCCAAGGGTTTTTGGCGGATAAATCGTAGCAGGAAGTAGATGACGCGAAGTAAAGCACACCATCGGATAGAGGAGACTTTCAGCTATCACCTGATATGCGACATCTTTATGGGAGATGGTGGAGAAAGGAAGAAAGTTGGAATTAAGGAAACACCTAAAAGGGCCGATCCCAGGTTTGCTCCCAAGGTCAAGATTTTTATTTCCCAATAATCTTTTTTCTCCCCGAACCGATGGGGCTAAAACTTCTAGGGGATAAAGATGTGATCTGTGGCTACACAGGGAGGTGGTTTTGAAATCAGGAACTAGACAGAGGCCGGAGAACGGGGACGATCTAGCGTCGAGATTTTGGTCGGAAATTTCAGAAATCCCGACGGGGCCCAAACAAAAAAAGGGTGTTGGAGGTTGTCTAACGAAGTTTCTAGGACTTTTCGTGGGTATCACCGGATGCGGCAGGTTGAGACGCATCGATTGGTGTAGGTTAGAAATGGATCCGTGCCGATTCCGGAAATCGGTGACCGGAAAACTGCGTTTTTGGCCTAAAATCCTCATAAATCGGGGGTTGGAGGTTGTCTAACAAACTTTTCATGGCTTTTCATGGGCATCACCGGATGCGGCAGAAAAAGACGCGTCGATTGATGTGGGTTAGAAATTGATCCGAGTCATTTCCGGAAATTTCGATCCGGAAAACTGCGTTTTTGGCCCAAAATTAGCATAAATGGGGGGTTGGAGGTTGTCTAACAAACTTTTCATGGCTTTCATGGGTATAGGCGGATGCGCAAGCTCAAGACGCGTCGATTGGTGTAGGTGAGAAGGCGGTCCAGACCGGTTCCGGAAAACTACGGTCGGAAAAGTCCCGTGTCCGTGTCCCTTTAAAGGCGGCTGAGAAGAGTTTAAGCGTTGTCCGCCATGCAGCTGGTCCGAGAAACATGAATAGTTTAGAAAAAGATTTGAGAAATAGGAAGGAGTTGTTTATCTTCCATATTATCCATTCCATAATATAGAGTCTGCATTTTCTCGAAAGTGAAGTTGAAGTGGTGGGTGAATAAGAATGTAGAGAATTTAGCAGGAATTATTTTTGGAATTTCTTCTTCTCCCTCAGCTTTTCGTCACCATTCCGTCTTCTTTGACTGTTTCACCGAATATTAACAAGTAATTCAGCATTTATTCACAACCTTTTTTTTCACAATTACAAAAATTCAACGCGCAAGGTAATATTCGATTGTCGTTATTGTCGATCGCTTCTGGTGCTTCTGCGAAAAAATATGGTCTAAAGTAGTTTTTGGGGTATTTCTTAGCCATTTTTAGTTACCCTAAGTTGAACCTACAGCACAGTCTTGAATTGTTGCTGGAATACCCGCCGCGAAGCGGCGAAAAATTTTTTTGCGACCTTTTTTTGACCACCTCCAGGCCGGCCGACCACCTCCAGAGAAATTTTCCCAATTCTCCCAACCAAATCGAAGCCTGGGTCCTAATCAGTGGTCATCCCCGCTGTGTGTCACTATGAACTTGCCGGGATCGAGGGACCGGGTTTTAACGGGTATGGAAAAGTAAGATGTCGGTATTTTTTTGTTCATCCTGGAAAACTACGTTCAACCGATTACGACGGGCTATTAGAAATCTCCACGAGTAGCCGGAATACGGTAATATTAACGAATATGGGAGTCCTGATCAAGGTCGGGACTACAAAATCATTAAAAGGAAAAATCCCTGGTTTATTTTTCGCTTTAAAGGGACTGGAAAGCTTCAGAATCGACCCTCTTCCTCAGATTAGGTATCGACAGCTACGCGACACTCCAAAATACGAGTATTCCAATAGGGCTCTCCTAGCAGAAGTAGGTTCAACTCTTATTGGCGCTACCAGCGCTGTCGATACCCAGCGAAAAAGGGGGTATATTGTGGAAATTCTGGTCCCTTTAAAACGACAAGGAAGGTTTGAGCTTTTGAACATCGCAAAAATTTATGCCCGAATACAGTAACTATCCGCAAAGCTCAGAAAATACTTTAAAAATGAAATCCGGACCCCATAATGCCAACTATAAACTAAATTAAATTAAACTATGTCAGGGTACTCCATATCTCTCATATCGCGTCAGAATCCCTCACCCGTCACTTCCGGTTCTAAACCATTCAAATACCTCAATCTGACGTAACCGCCCAATTACCAAATCTACTCCCTACGTGGCCGTTCGTTCGTGCCCTTATCTCGCTCCCCGCTAGCATCATATTGCAGGTGCTGTTGTTTTACACTAAAAACCAGCCAACAACTGACCGCCAACAGGACTTCCGTGTCCGCTTACCGTACCTCAGCGATTGCAAGCATTCCAGCCACTGCAGAGGCCAGTGGAAAGGGAGAAGGAGATGGCGAGTGGGCGAGAGAAAACGAGAATTGGAAAATCGCACCCTCCCTAGATGATCTATCATTTCCGGCGCGGATCGCTTGTTTAGTGCATAATAGGCAACGTAACGTGAACAAAAACGAGGGAGTGACCTTAAAAAGGGAAATGCATCAATTAACCTGACGTAATTATTCAAAAAAGGTAGCTCGTAAAAAAATGAAGCTATACTAACGTAGCTAAGCTTTTTTCAGTCTATTTTGGTCAGAATTTTACGCTGCATCAATCTGGCTTCCGAATTTGCAAAATAGCCGTTTTAAAAAGTTAGGAGGTTTTTTTAAATAAAAATTCGCTAATTTAGCTAATTCTTGCTCCAAAAAATTGCTTGTCTAACTACTAATTTGACTCGGAAATTTTTGAACCTGAATTCGGGAGCATCTTAAAATTCTTGAAAAGCTAAAACTATCCTAACTTTACAAAACTTACAAAGCTGCAAATGCAAGCCTACAGCCTCAAAAATGTTACTACTCTTCTTAAGCTTCTCCAGCTCAGTCGGCTTCTCCTCCCCGTTGTAAGCTAAAAAAAAGCTTCCCCTCCCAATCCTCGACAATCACTACCCCGTAATAACAACAACAATATCGTTCCGCCAATCCACCCCACCCAACCGGGTGGATGTCATGACAATGCAGACAGCTTTCAGCCCTCGTGTGCCTCTTCTACCACTCCTGCAACATCACGGGGATTGACACGGATTTCAGGGCGCGCCCGCGTGAGGTATTGTAAAAAGTGGTCTTATCGCGCTCAAGATTGTCGCGTTGCCAAGTCTCGCCGAGATATCACACCCGGCTGTCCAACTAGTTCCTGATCCACCCGCAACGTGTACTTTCGAAAATGACAACGGGGACCGGCTAAAAAAAATTTAGTTTGAAATATATTAATAAAAGTTTTCATTATTATCCTGAACCATACTAATTTCAAGCTTTTCCTAGAGATATCTAGAGGCAAGCTAAATGACATTTTCAAGGAGCGTATCCGGCCGCAAAATGGCAAGGCAAGAGAACTTCCTGAAAAAAAGGATTTCGTCTTTAAACGGATCTCTCATTTAAAAAAAGTCGCCAAAAAGTAGAAGCTGAATCGTTTATGTTACTCTCATATCAGTCGGCTCTTTAAGTTTAGCAATGCAGTAGAAATCCGAGCTCAATTTTTGAGTGAGTTTTTATTAAGTTTTTGAGTGCGACTACATTAATCGAGATTCTACCGTTTTACGAAATCTTTGCCCCTCAAAAATGCCCTATACAGCGTCATATCCTAAACCCCCACCTCAATTATCACCAAAACCAGTCCACCTTCTGCCTATCAAAACAATAAGCAAACCCCGTGAACCCATGCAACTCCTCCCTCATGGGTGCCTCCGATGGTGATTGCATGCAGCAGGGTGTGGCTAATTTGCACGAGCACGACGTCACGGTTTCCGGCTCCATTTCCGGTCTCTCCTTTTTTGCAAAAAGAGAAGCCGCGGTGCGGAACTCGTAGAATCGTCGCGTCCCGAGTGAGGGACGAGGGACAAATGCCGAGTTTGCCGAGTAGTAAATGAGACGTTGACTTTCGTCTGGCATTCCTTCGCCCAAATTGCTTCGTAGCAAGCGAATTTGGCTAATTGCAAAAGTAGGGCTAGCAAAAATGTTTTCGGATCAAAATACAACGAAACAGGGTGGTTGAAATGTCTAAAAAGTGGTAAAAAATACTTTAGGGGAACAATATCTAATTTTAAAGAACAGGCGTGGTTTTCATAAAATAAAACCTAAAAACGTTTTATAAATTGCTAAAATCAACAATTATTCACCTAGAGATAAACCTCCTTACCCCCCATTAGAACTCAACTACGACGATTTCAACTAATAGACAATTTACAGCAGCTAATAAGCTTTTCGGTTCGTAAAAACGTAGTTTAAAACGACCACGTGCCCCTCTTCGCCTTTCCCAACCCCAAAAATACCCTGAAATCTCCCCAAAAAAAAGTCCAAACCGATCCTCACGCGGAAATTATTCCCAAAACCGGGTCATCAGTCTGGCGGTATCGAAATGACGCAAAGATAACCACCACGTGACTCGACCTTGCCATGCTGCATCGCCTCAGCTTTTGTTTATAGGGAAAAAATCGACCGGAAATGCAAGGTCGTGCAGATCAAAGCCCAAAGCGTATCTGGCTAAGCGGTGGACGGCTTTTAGAAAATAACACATAGAAAAAAGCTTAGCAAAGATTATTAGGGAATTTCGATAAAATAACTACAAAAGGTCAGGTAACGAATTTAATATTTAAGGGGATCGGCAGTCGTTTAGTAGTAGCCCCATAGCATACACAATAGTAAATAGTATTATAGTATTGCTAGTAAAATTTAACCGTATTTCCATGGGAAAAATATTCGAAAAACTAAAAAAAGCTTCAAACTATGAAGTTCTAGTCCAAAAATATATATTTATGGATTTTTGTCAAAACCCCTAGATTTTTAACGTTTCAGAATTGCAAAAAAAAGTCTGGAAGTACCTGCATTAGAAAAATTGGATTCTCGGGAAAAATTCACACCGAAGTAACCGAACATTGACCCCGAAAAAAGTCCAAAACGAACCTGTAACCCCGCCAAAACCGGCAGCATTCCAGGCGCGATCGAGACCCATCCAGAAGACGATCGGCTCACAAACACCCCGAGCTGATATAGCACCTAAATACGGCAATTTGGTACACCAGGCCTGAAAACTCACTTGATACCACCGGTACTGACTCGCCGGCGACAGCCCAAATCCGTGCGCACAGTCGAAGATGAGCAGCTCGAACTGAAAATAAATGCAGGTAATTGTTTAGGTGATTAAGACTAACCATCCCTTGGTTGATGAAATACTCTCCAAAATAAACGAGCATCAAGGGGACCATGAAGCGGAGGAGGGGCTAAAGAGTTATTTTAGCATTTTGAAAAATTAACAGATCCTAAAAGTCGGTTCTTTTTAGCTTTATTATAGTCATAAAACCAACCCTGACCGCCGCCCATTTATCATCATTGGAAAGTGCGTCGAAAGAAAAGTGGCGGTGATCGTGTAAATCTAAAAAAATACAATTTTTATCTTGTTAAGCCCCACCTTCTTCCGTCGGCGAGTCTGGCGGTGAATTGAGCAACGGCCTGCGCTGAATATCCTCCGACTCAGAGTTGAAAAGGCGCCGGCGAGAACCTAGTTTCTGTATTTTACCAAAAGACAAAAAACCTGCCTCGATTGACGAAATACGTTGACCGATCCATAATATTGACGCGATGCACAGCCGCCGGAATTAGCAATATTCGCCAATAACTGAAGAACGGATAGTTTTTTTGGATTTATTAAGCTCACGTGAGTGCAAACACCGCCGGCATCAATAACATCGATAGCAGCGCATTTCTCGGGGTGAAGCCTAGCAGGTAGGGATCTAAATCGAGATTCAAGTGTGCAAAAATAAGTAATGATCTACCTGTCAATACTGCGTACGCCAAAGCACCAAAAATTCCGGCCCCGCCGGTCCCTGACGACCAAGCAGATACAACATCACTGAAAATGTGTACTGTAATAATATTTTAGTAATTTGAGCTTACTTCTTGAAGTTAGAGGCCAAGGACAAATACGAGATTTCGCCAAGTCCAGATGCGAAGCTTGCCAAAACCACGCCAGTTAGGGCTGTGAAGACATCCTTGCCAAGAGCCACGAGGATGTAGGAAAAAGCTTGTAGCAGGACGACGATGGCATGGCGGGTTCTAGAAACAGAAAATATCGCCCCCCCCCCCCCCCCCCCCCCCCCCCCCCCCCCCCCCCCCCCCCCCAAACCCCCCCCCCCTCCCCCCCCCCCCCCCCCCCACCATCCCCCCCCACCCCCCCCCCCCCCCCCCCCCCCCCTTTTCCCCCCCCCCCCCCCCCCCAAAAAAAACCCCCCCCTCCTTTTTTTTTTTTTTTTTTTCCCCCCTTTAATTTTTTTCCCCCCTTCCCCCTTTTTTTTTTTCCCCCCTATTTTTTTTTTAAATTATATAAATAGTAGTAACGTTTAGACCCATACCCAAATGGAATCGCGTGGATGAACAAGGGGGCGATCAGCTTGATAAACAATGATGGGATAATGTCGGCCAACAACACCGAGCCGGTCGACATTGGTGCGCATTCTCGCTCAATGATTGCATCCTAAACATTTGCTGAAACAAACTTGAATCATTCTTTACCTGACAAGTTGCTGTTGTCCTGTTCTTTGAGCCGCTTTCCAAGATATCCTGCGCGGCGCTCAACATAATCACGTACGCAAAATTGTTGCAGAGCCCGAGGAGCCTAAAAATACAGACCCTTCTTGTTAAACACGATAAAACTAACCAAAACCCGGCCAGATTTCGCAAAACCTCACCATTTCGAGCTCTCGGCACGGGTTGGTCCTGTAAAAATTCAATTAAATTGAAGATACCATGAAAATTAGCCCTTACCAGGGTTGAAAAGTCGCTTCGCGACTTTTCAACCCTGGCCTTGTTTTGTGCAATGCTACACTTCGCTTTGCATCACCGTGCTGAAATAAGATAACAAAAAATGAAAACACCCCTTCTGCCGCTTTATATAGACGACCCCCCCACTTCCGGTCTACGTTAATTCTTTGCTAACAAAGAGTGTTTTACAAAAACTAAAATTTAATACCGAAAATGGGTAATTTCTAAAAATCGGATATGTGTGCAGTCATCGCAAGGCAAGTACGCACCTAATGACGTATCGTACTTACCCCTAACTCCTTCCCCTATGGAGATACTACTGGAACAACGATACGGAAGTGGATGCAAAGTGGCACACACACACACACAGACACTATTTTTTTATATTAGCCCTTATTCGGGTAAAATTAGAATTTCCACAATAAAATTTACCAGCTCCACATCACCGCCAGCGTTTCCGGATCGATCGTCATCCATTCAAGCCTAAGCCAGACAATTCCATTGCATGGGGGCACTCGGCCCGCACCCAGCAGTTCAAAGGCGTAATCGTCCAAAAAAACAAACACCGCGCCGGGGAGAGTGGTTCCACGGTGCGTTGGGCGGCGAATAGCGCTACTTCCCGCACTGGCGAGCGCCTAAAAAGGGAATACTGTAGTAAAGCGGGTGTAAATGAAGGATATTTGGTTTTGAAAGTATCAAAAAGCGTTTTTTCAGGAGAATTCGTGAAAATGGGGCCGGCGAGCACAGAAATAAAGCTAAAAATACGTTTTTTAAGGCGTTGAAAAGGCAGCAAAAATGAAAAAATTATTAAAAGTAAAAATACGATAAACGCCGATTGACGTTTGCGGGGGCGCCCCATGTAATGCGCCCTAATGACCGTAATCCAAAAATTTCCGCCGGATTGAAACGGAAACCAAATCCGATCGCCGTATTTTTCAGAAGAAAAATTTCGCGAAATTGAATCGAAAATCCGCTAGCGTATGTTTGCTTTTTTCCAAATAAATAAAGCAAAAACACATTTCGTCTTCGAAAAACTTTCAAAACCTTCGAGGTAAACGATTTTCTTTTTTCAGGATGAGCTCCATCAACTGGAACGTTGACGCGCCACGCTACACGCCTCCGTCGAAGCCGCGATTGCCGGAAAAGGCCACCGAAACGTTTCGCCATTCTCTCGAGGAAGCCGGCGTCACCGAGGTGTTGTCAAAAGCTCTGGCCAAGCTTTGCGAACTGCCGCCCGCCCAGCGCCCCCAGGAGCCGCTCAAGTTCATCGCCGCCGAGATGACCCGCGCGGCCGACCACCTATTCGAGGATCGACTATTCAATAACATCATCGATGACTTCTTCCTTTCTTCTGAGGAGCTCACCCACGCCGCCAATCTGGGCGCTGCTGAAGAGAAGAAGTTGACCGAATTTGCCACCTCCTTGTTGCTGAATGACGCGCGCGGCAGTGCATTGGTGGAGACCGTTCCGGATACGTTGGAGGAACTCGGTGATAAAACATTGCGGGTCCTCGAAGAGCGCCTAGCAGACCTATGTATCCGAGCCGCCGCTAGACGGTCTATTCCCAAGGAGTCGACGCCTGATATTGACGAGAACAAGCCCGCGCAGAAGGCTGAAGCCAGTGACTCTGGGATCGTTTCCGATGAACCTAAATAATTCTGTGATTTTGTTGTTTTCTCTGCGCTGTGACTTTTCCAAGAGACTTTGATTTTCACAATTTGCTGTTTTACCGCTCAGATAATAAATGTATTTAGATGGCCCTGCCGGACCTGCCATTCCTCCAGAAAGTACTCGATGAGAATGTTCAGTACTTGCGGACGATACGTGCAAGTGACTTCGTTGACCGCCTCCATCACAAAGTGACCCCACAACTACTCGCGTTGATGGGAATATTGGTCTACGCCAAATCGCAAGCGGGATCACCGATTCATTGCATTCTGCCGAAAGAATTACACGGTAAAAGTGCATTTTGGAGGTGGTGTAAACGTTTTGCAGATGGCGGTTGGCATAAGTACTTCCACGAATACTGCTTTATCTCGACTACCTACAACTATCGCACGTTTCATTCGCTGGCGGATGTTCACGACCGCGTGGCGAATATTGAGACTGGCAAGGAAATCAATTATTATCAGGTCTGGTCCTCAATGCGGTGAAATGAGATATTCAGTGGGTGCCGCTTTTCCTCTTCACCATGATAGCGTTTTTCTTTCTGCCGTACCTGCTCTGGCGTCGTGTTATCGCCGTAATATGTACGTGATTAGACTAATGGAACTGTAACGAGATTATTTAGGGATGGATATTGATTTGATTTTGGGGCACGCGAAGGACTACTCGACAGAGCTGGACCCCGAAAAAAGAGCCGCACTCTCTTCGCAAATTGCTGAATATATTTATCGTACAAACCGTTATCAAGCCGAGGTTTGATTCTAGCTTTCAATTGGCAATCCCTTTACTTCAGAAGCGAGGCAGCGGCATCGGAAGCATCCTCTTTCAAAGGACGGCGACATTGGGCTACATGTTTCATAAAGTTAGCGAATTTCCCGATGTAACTCTCTTTCTAGGTGCTACTAATTATTAATGTCGTATTCCTGCTCGCGTTGGTCCGCTACTTCCTTGGAATTCCTGTGATGAGCTTTGGCGTTGAGGTATTTTTGACTGCTTACATAGTGAAAATTTTTAGCAATTATTTACGATATTCACACGAGCTGACGATAACATGGGCTATGGCGTATTCCCGAAGGTTTATTCCTCGAATGTATTTGCAACAGTTTAGGTGGTGTTTTGCAAAACGAATCGGATTCAACCGCTTGGTGGTGCTGGGCACCTACTTGGCTACAACTTACAATGCCTGCTGACGCTGAACTATCTGAACGAAAAGGTCTTCATGGCTTTATGGTTTTGGCTGCTCTTGGTAATGTTTGGATTTCTTACCATCCCTGTTTTTTTTAGTTATTAGCGATCACAATCGCGAACATGATGTCTTGGATGCTTTACTTGCTTCGTGGCTTGACAAGTTCGCATGAGAACCTGTTCGAGCACTCTGGTCGTAAGATCAGTTTTCATCGTTATGTCGACAGCAAGGTAAGGCTTACTGCGCTAAGCAAAAAAGCAACAATTTTCAGACCCTCTTCAAAACTCTGGGCCCCGACGGTCGACTACTCTTCCGATTCATTTCCATGTTTGCTGACGAGCTCACGGCTGTCGACATCATCGAGAGCCTTATTCGGAGGTAAGATGGATTTCTAATGTTATTTGGATTCATTTTAGGTTCCGCAAGGCGTATAAGAGCCATGGGACGTGGTCAGAGAATTTGGTGCAACAGACACCTGAAACGATCGAGTTGCTACCTAAAGAAGAGCCAGAACCCACTCCTGAACTGCCGGGATCGGCTTCCTCATTGCCTGAGACTCCCCTACGCAAAAGGACCATTTTTACCATTGAAAACTCGCCACATCGATCAGCATCTTTCTAGGTCCTTATTTCAAGCCATTTGCTCCACGTATTTGCGTGAATTTTGAAAACGTGTAAATCTTGCCTGTAGCATGTTTATTTATTTTGGTTCGTTGGAAAATAAAAGGTTTACAAATGGCCCGAGACTCGAGAACGAACCCTGTATGTATTCAGTAGCCGTATCAGAAAAGGGGGATTTCGCAATTTTTAAAATGGCGAACGTAGTCGCGCCGTTTCATACTGACCATAATCCAGGTAGTTTCACGAAATTCATGTTTTCTCATGATCGCACCTCCCCTCTATTAATCCTAGAAGAGCAATTTAACTTTCAGATGAATGGTCCCCAAAAGCGAAAAGCTGGTTCGGGCTATTACGATCCAAAGATAGCTGCGGTCGCTGTGCCGAGAAGGTCCGAGGCGTATATAAGGAAAATACCGGTCGACGTTGATGACTATTTTCCCACTAGGATTTCGAGGTTGGCAGATTGAAGTTCATTCGTTATCATTAATCATAGGGATCTTCGTAAGAAGATTGTACCCCCGAAACGGAAGTACTCTGTGCGATCGCTACCACACGCTAACGAGCTTGGCGAGGTGTCTGACAGCGAGACGGAAGGCAGTGAATCATCGAACACCCGTTCTTCCGATGCCACGCAGAATACAACCATATCCGATATGGCCATGGTGGAGCCGGGACGCAAAAGATGCGACTTCCGAGACATCAGCCTAGAAACACCTAAAGGCAGGAATGGGGTGGATGCGAAGCGCCATTCTTACAGGCGGAGTCGAGAGTTGATCGTGCTCGGCCCTTCGCCGACAAGCAGCGTCTCTCGTGAAGTCCATTTCCATGAAGCTCTGACGCAACTTGAGGAGCAGGAAGAGCGCAGCAACAGTCCTGTCGAGCCGCCACCTGAACTGGAATGTGAACCGCCGATCGAGAAAACTATAGTTGAAGCACGGCTCCGTGTCATCCCGGAGATGCCTCGCTATAGCTTTGCCAAAAGCTCGCCTTTCTTCGAGGCTGATGCCATGACGCCTGAGGCGGCTGTCAGCAGCGCTGCCGGTGACTATGGTGTACGCAAGACGGTCTTGATGGCAAACCTAACGCGAGAACAACTCGACCGATACGATGCTTGCACGACAGCCAACTTTTCCTCGGATATGATGCAAGATATAATCCAGGTAGACGCTTTTCGTAAACTATGCAGACGGAATTCCTAAAAGCAATTTTTTTTCTTTAGCATGGCCGGGGTAGAGATACAATTTTTCCTTTTTTTCCAATCTTTAGAAACGTTATCAAAATAGATTTTTCGGCCAAGAAAACGCTTGCTTTTTGACAAACGTTCAATTTTTCGGCCAAGAAAACGCTTGCTTTTTGACAAACGTTCAATTTTTCTTTTTTTACCAATCTTTAGAAACGTTATCAAAATAGATTTTTCGGCCAAGAAAACGCTTGCTTTTTGACAAACGTTCAATTTTTCCTTTTTTTACCAATCTTTATAAACGTTATCAAAATAGATTTTTCGGTCGAGAAAACGCTTGCTTTTTGACAAACGTGCAAATTCTTACACATATTAGTCTTCTAAACGATTTTTTGGTTCTGTTCTATTTCGCGTGGGAAAAACTGTGCGGGGGAAATTTTCCGTTTTTATAACTCTTTTATATGATGCTATTTTGAATTGTAATTAAAACTCTTAGTATATTTTTTCACGCTCTATCGAATGGCATTAAAGAAATTTTTGAAAGTTATCGAAAATGTCGAAAACTAGCTTTCGACTCCACGATCCCATGTGGAAACACCGAATAAATCTTGTTTTTGCTATAACTATTTTATAAAACATAATTTTTAGATGAAATTAAAATTCTGGGTATATTTTTTGATGCTCTATCGAATGACGGGTTCAAAATAGCGAAAAACTGGCGAAAATGCCCAAAACTAACATTCCGGAACCAGTTTCAATAGTTTTTTTGTTTTTGCTATTCTTTTTATATTACAATATTTTTAGCTAAAACAAAACTCTTAGTATATTTTTTGTGCTCTATCGAATGGCGTTGCAAAATCCCGAGAAAATAGCGAAGTGGAAGGTTCCGCGAAGCATATTCCCCCGCCAGTTTTCCCCCACGCGAAATAGAACAGAACCGATTTTTTCACTTCAAATTAACCATTTTTTTGCTTGAAAAACTATGAAAATCTGGCTACGACCAGCTATCCATAGTTTAGAAATACGCCAAAAATTGACGGCCCGGGATACGGAAGAATTGACTATAAGACAAATTATAATATTCCTGTTATAGAAGCACTGTGACATCATGATCGGTCCGAGCATAGCCGAGGTTATTGGCGCAGTGGCAAAGACGTTTCTCGGTGAACTCGTCGAGGAGGCCATGCGGGCACGCCGTAGGACGGACGAAGCTGCTCCGGCGTTGACGCCGCCGGAGATTAGACGAGCACATCAAGTCCTAAGCCGTAATGGCGTTATGTCCTCTATGGCTCGTCTGGGCTCTCTCCTTTGATCCTGATATTACCTTCCCTTGATCCCTAGATCTTGAATCTCGCTACGGCTAATATAGCTTCCCAACCGCTCAACCACTCATTTTGTTACATTTAATCAAACTAATCACAATGTAGTGAATAGGTACAAATATAGGTAGTACAATAAATGTTATCCCCTACATCGGCAAACAATCCATAACTTTCTCAAATCATTTGAGGATCGGATCGAATACGGTCAATGAAAGAATTTATCAATAGGTTTCTATAAGAAACAAATGGATTATCAGACAAACTAATCGCAGCACCTCTCAAAATCTTATAAGCTGCGCGGCCGCAAAATATCGAAATTCAGTGGTAAGATCGTCGTTTCTTGAAGCTTTCCACATGACTCTTGTGAAGCCAGACAACACTGCTGGGCATCTCCAATTGGGCCGACACCACTTCCGCGAACCGCTCCACCTCTTCTTGCGTCTTTTTGCTGCGGTGCCAAATGGAGAGGATGCGCTCTCGGCCTCGCATCGTGCACACGACACCGGCAATGTCTTCAGAGTCCTAAATCCGAGTCGGCTAGCTACACGCGATCGGGTTACCTCAAATTGGTAGCCGGCCAGGAGCAACAGCATATTCTCCCAAATCCGGTCGGCGAAGTTGGCCTTGATGCGCCAGAACAGCTTGCCACCCTCCACGTTTTCCGGGTCTTCCCAAACCGGCCGGATATCTGCCTGAAATGAAATTTGTAAAAAAATTCACAAAGTTCGACGCACCTTGAAAAAGTGCAGGTCGAGCTTCGTATTGATATCGCCGGGCCGCCGAATATGGCAATAGGCACGCCAGAATTCTTCGACAGTATTTACCTATACCCGAAGTTTTTGAAAAAAAGAAATCACTAACCACTGCCAGCTGTTGTACATGCCCGCTGTAGTCTTCTCCATCAAAATTCCGCGGTGCATGAAAGTAGGAGAAGGTGAAACTATGTGCCAATTTGTGAGAGCTCTCCTAAAAAAATAACATTTTCGAAAACCAAGGCTGGGGAAACCTCTTGTGGTGAAGGTTGACGCGTAGCATCGATGCCGGGTGGTCTCCAGGGCACCGTGGCGGTACTCATTATACAGTTACACTGAAAATTGGCTGATAGGATAGAAAAATAGTGGAAAAGGAGCTAGAGAACAGGTAAAGTGGAGAAAAATTTGGGACAAACATCGCTTTTTGAGAGAAAGGGTTCTACACCGGTAACGTGGTCTTTGTACGAAATCGTGGTCTTTGTACGAAATCGTGGTCTTTGTCGAATCGTGGACTTTGTACGAAATCGTGGTCTAATGGACGCCGATGGGGTAACGTGGTCTTTAATCGATTCTGGTCGATTGCCGGCATCGGGGTCTTTAAAAATCGAAAAATCGGCGATTTTTTGGGCCTGTTGAAAACGTGGTCTTTAAGAATCCAGGTTCGGACCGGCTATAGACCACGATTCCAAAACTTCCGGAAAAGCCCCCCAAATCGCTGGAAAAACGTGGCAATTTCACCAGTATGTTTCTAACCTAGCATTATTGGTTTATGGCCTTGCCCAAAACCTGCCCCACCTGCCCTAAAATTTCGGTTTGATTGGAAATGAGGCGGCCAAATGCCAATACTTTTCTGAGTAAGACCTGCTAGCAAACACTTCCGAAATATTTTTGCGGCGATTTTTATGGGAAAATTGAAGTTTGGGTATTTTTAAATTGCAGAGCACTAAAATAAGCTCTAACGTTTCAAATATTGTCATTCAACAACTTTTGGAAACAGTTGAAACAGTACTTTTGGAACGCTTTTGAATAAGGTTACTCTTGGATAGGTTTGTGTTTTTTTCGGGATTTTTTCAACGCCGTCATCGAAAATATACAAAGAGTTTTTGTTTTAAGTCAAAATATTGTAATACAAAATAGTTATGGCAAAATCAAATATGAAACGTAGTTTTCACAGTGGAACATTGAATGAAAGCTAGTTTTCGACAGTTTAGACGTTTTCTCAAAATTCCTTGAATGTTTTCTCCATGTTTTCTCAAAATTTCTTGAACGAATAGAGGGTCGTAAAATATACAAAGAATTTGTTTATAGCTAAAAATGATTGATTAGGTCGGCCCCGACAGTCTTTCCCCGCGACGTAGTCTGGATACACCGGAATCGCATTTTTGGGCTTTACCGGCTTCTTCAAACAGTCAATTTAAACTTTTTCAACATACGAGTGTACCCGGATCATCCTAGTGAAATTGCCACGTTTTTCCAGCGATTTGGGGGGCTTTTCCGGAAGTTTTGGAATCGTGGTCTATAGCCGGTCCGAACCTGGATTCTTAAAGACCACGTTTTCAACAGGCCCAAAAAATCGCCGATTTTTCGACCAGTGGAAAAAGGCCGCTTCGCGGCCGTTTTCCACTGGACCCCGTCTAGGAATCATGAATCTGAATACATTCTTCTTTTAGCCTGCGGCGCGAGTCTGAGTAATGACGCCATGATTGGCCTGCGGCGCTAGGCCAGCGTTCCGCTAGAACCTTTGAGCCTGCGGCGCTAGTTACTGCTTTTTCTCCAGGATCTGGCCTGCGGCGCGAGAGCCTGGGTTCAAGGACTTTCTCTTGGGCCTGCGGCGCTAGAGCGAGGGCCAGGCCTAAACCTCGCATACCGAGAGCCTAGAAATATGTTTAGTTGCTAAACCACCAAAAAGCAAAAGTTAGATTTGCCCAGGATCCGAACCCCGATCATAGGCGTGGCAGGCCGGGCGTAAATCCACTACACCATGGGGTAGATGGGATCAGGCGGGGGGGAAAGCCCTCTTCTGTTCCGGGGAAAGGGCGGGGAGGCAAAGAAAGGGCCGACCCAATGCCCCGGAAGGGAGGCCTTCTGGTCACTTTACAAAATTAAGTTTTTGAGTCTTAATCGGCAGAAAATTTGTAAAGATAATAAGATGCGCGTGATCCCCACTATTGAATACATAACTGGTCCAAATTTCAGCTCGAAATTCCAAATGCGAATCGAGTTATGCCCCGGACACCACGGCCAATGGCCCATTTTGTTAAGGATTTTCACTATTTTGCTTGTAAAAACCGTTAAATGAAAGAATTTCGCAAAACAAAAAAATGCGTGTCTGACAAATGTGGTTCTTCACCTTCATGCCAAAAATCAGCTCAAAATTCGGCCTCACGGCCGAGAAATCCTCATTACAGAAAACAGACATACTTTTCTCGCTTATAGGATAGGATTTTTAAAGACCCCGATGCCGGCAATCGACCACGATATCGATTAAAGACCACGTTACCCGCATCGGCGTCCATTAGACCACGATTTCGTACAAAGTCCACGATTTCGGACAAAGACCACGATTTCGTACAAAGACCACGATTTCGTACAAGACCACGTTACCGGTGTAGAACCGAGAAAGTTTTCCAGAAAAAGAAATTTGGAGAGATCGTGCCTGTGAATTGAGAAATTTTGTCGAAAAGAAGAAAATGGAGGGAGCGCCCCTTGCGTGGAAACTACCGTACTCTTCCGATACGGTATGCACGTAGTATTGCAGTGGACTCTGGTCTGGTCCTTTCTGAAAATTAATTCTTTCTGAAAATTCTTTATTCTTCGTATTTCCTCTTCCTAATTTCCATTGTGCGATTTTACTTCTTTAACTTCTTGGCTAAATAAATAAATTTTAGCCAATATGGAAACTACCCATCGCTACCGGACGAGGAGGAGTCAGCTTCTCCCACCACATGGTACCACTGTTTTCTGTACTCTATTCTGGATATCCAGATTTGTCCAGCAGCTCCGACAGTCCTTCCCAGCAGACGCCCAACACTTCCGGTATTTTTTTCTTCTAGTTATTTTGGTCCTTGTGCATTATCGGGGACGGGAAGACCGATTTTTTTAGTATGTCTAGAAATGTCTAATAGCTCAAAAGGAAGTTTTAATGGAGTTTTTGGTACAATATTTAAGCAAATTTCAGCTAGAAACACCTTCTAAAAACTTGAAAAAGTTCAAACTTGGTCAAAAAACGGCTATTTTGGTCGAAAAGTCTATGTTTTTGATAGTTTTTAACGGCAATTTGAAAAGTATTGACGTTTAGGAATAGTAAAAACTCGTATATTAACAATTCCATTGTATTTGAAAAATTGGCTCCTAAGAAAAAAACGGTTTCTATCCCCCGAGAAATGCAATGCGAAAGAAAAACTTTCTAGATTTTCTAAACCTTTAATTTAGCCTCAACGCCTCCGGACAGCGCGCCCACATCGTCCGGCGGTTCATCTCGAAGCCGGCAACGTGGTAGTTTTCGTCTAGTTTTCAAGATAAACACAATCTTAGGAGAATTCACCGACGAGAAGTACTCTAATGTGTACTACTACCAAATGCTGGCCGACTCGCGGAAAATGGCACGGGAGAATGTGGAAGATGTAGTGGATGCCGAGGGAAAACCGACTGTCGCCAAGCTTTCAAAGTTCAGGTAGTATTAAAGTATAATCCCAAAATCTGTTTAGATGGCGTGACGTATATACCTTGGTGCAAATACCCTCCACATCCCCTGATCAGGCCGTCAACATGGAAGAGAATGATACGGTGCGCCCAAAGACTAAGGTCTGGCGCGCACCCAAGAAGCTGACGGCCGTTTTGGAAGAGAAGGATATCCCGAGGTAGAAACTTGGTACTGGACTACCACTCGGTGGTAACACCGGTTATGCAGCCATTTGACGCTGTCTTAAAGGGATACCGATGGTATCGGTCGATCACCCCTGATCGACTTTTTGGTACGTAGCCAACTGGGCAGAGAACGCGCCCAGGGGCGAGACGGAAAGAAATTTTACTTCCTTCGCGTTACCGATGCCTTCGTTATCCCTTTAAAGTATCCTACTATATATAAAAAAATAGTGTCTGTGTGTGTGTGTGCCACTTTGCATGCAACTTCCGTCAGCGTGTCCGGAGGATATCTCAAGAGGGGAAGGGTCGTAGGCTACGTATGATACGTCAGTAGGTGCGTAATGGCTCTGGGATGACTGCACGCTTACCAGATTTTGCAAATTATGCTATTTTAGACATTAAAATTAAGTTTTTGTTGAAAAATCGGCCGCCGTCTTTGTTAGGAAAAATTAGCATACTCCGGAAGTGGCGGCAGCCTATATATAATGCGAGAGAGGGGTGTTTTTCATTTTTTCAATGCAGAGAATTCGAGAGACGTATGCAGAGTGAGGAATAATATGGGGTTGGACGGGGCCAGGGTTGAAAAGTCGCGAAGCGGCTTTTCAACACTGGTAGAAAGTTAAAAATCGTTAACCTTTCCACATTTTGATTTTTGGTGAGAAATTTATCACGCGTTATATAGCTTTTACGCCGTTTTCAACCCTAGAAAGCTCAAAAAATTGTGAAGCTTTTCTAATTTTGATTTAATCTAATTAGTTTTGAAGACAAACGCGTTCGAAAAATTTTTAACCTGCCAAAATTGTTGATTTTGGTAATAAATGTGAAAAAATGCTGGCAATTTAAATTTCAAAAGTTTCGAAAATCCTTTTTGTGTCTCTTTAGTAATCAAAAACTATTGAAAACTCTATTTTATAAAACGCCAATAATGCTAACAAGCTAGGCCGTCTAGATACCTGATCACACTAACTGTCTTTTTTTACCTTTAAAATTTTTAGTTACGTTTCCCGCGAGACTCACCAGATTCTACAGCCCGCAAAGCAGCTACTCTATCAGCGTATGTTTATTTTCGGCTTTCGTTCTATTATCATTTTTAGCTGATGAAATCGACGTTCGCTGGCTGAAGCTTTGCAACGCGGCGCGAGTCGAGAACGGTCAGGCCCGGATCACGATGCACCAGCTCGCCCACACGCTGAATACATTCGAAAGTGAGGCATACACAGTAAGAGGTTTTAAGGTATTTTTGAGGCTTTTGATTTGTCTAGGCACTCCATTGCGCGCTCATCCAATCGCTGGCATTGCCTGCCCGGTTTCCGCTTCCTGATGACGACGCGAAATGTATCATATGCGGGGTGAAGACCGAAATAATATTTTTTTAAAACTTGTGTTTAGGATCGTGAATACGGTATTGATGCGGTGAAGTATAACTGCGTGATGTGCAACATGACCTGCCACGCCGAGTGTCTGCTGATGGGCACTTCAGAGTTGCCAGGCGATTGGTGCGTTTTGCTTAGCTTTGAGTAAATCTTCTTTTTGCTGTGATATCCATTGATGAAAGGGAAGATTTAGAGAAAGTACAGATTTTTTACATTTCATTTACAGTTTTTAATACAGAAATTATTACCTTTTTCGAATTATTTGATTTTTGGTATTCAAAAGTCCATCAAGGTCATTAAGAATATCATCTACCTTTTTTCCTAAAAAGGTTAAGGACTTTTACTAATGAAAGACCAGAAAAAAACGGAAAAATCTAGAACACCCTTAGAATTCCTATTTATCAATTATAAATTTTTTTAGGAAGTGCTCAAGCTGCGAAAAACTTGATGGACGCCCGCCAAACTGCGTGCTCTGCCCGATGCGCGGGGGCGGCTTCATGGAGACGACCGACGGCAGATGGGCCCATCTGAACTGTGGAAAATGGTTTTGGAATTGCCGGTAAACCTTTATTACGTTTTTTCTCAATTATTATAGTTATTCCGGAGCTGCTCCACATAAACTCGACTGTCGGCAGATTCCCCTGTCGAACTGGAGCATGAAGTAATTTATCTTTTTTGGCTTTTCCAAAAAAAAGTATATATTTGAGGTGCCAAGTGTGCAATACAAGCCTCGGCGCGTGTCTTCAATGTCGGGAGCCCGGATGCGACGTGTCATTTCACGTCTCCTGCGCCTTGCGTACCGGGCATAAGTTTTACACCACAAATGGTGGGCCATCGGAATTAAGGTTAATTTTGTTTTAGACAAAAAATACCTGAATTACCACACGTATTGCCTGAAACACACGCTAGAGGTTAAAGGTGACTTTACTGACATAATGTTTAAAGGCGTCGGCTATTTTAGGTAAAAAGCGGGGCAAGAAGAAATCATTGCCCGGGGAGCTCGAGAACAATTGGGTGCGATCGGAGGAGCTGGGCGAGCTGGAGAAATATTTGGTTGAACGCACGCCGGTGGAAGATGCTATTAGATTGTAAGTTTCGCCCATTTTTCGTTTAGCTTTTTGGTCCTTTTGCATTATCGGGGGGAACGTGGGACTTTTTTCATCAGTCTAGGAATCTTTAGTAACTTAATTGGAAATGTTTAATAGTGTTTTAGTAAAAGATGACTGTATTTAAGCTAGAAAAGCTATCTAAAACTTTTAAAAAGCATTGAAAAAGTAAAAATTGGCCTTTTGGCGGAAAAATATCGATTTTTTGATTTTTTTAATAAAAATTGTAATGTAAAGATTTCACTTTCGGGAATAGTAAAAAATTCTTGGAAAACTCTTCCATTATTTATTTTTGAAATTAGCTCCTAGGAACCCCCCCGAGAATGCCAAAGAACCCGATTTTCAAATGCTTTGTTTAGATCGGATCTACCTGCAGATATCATCAAAGAACTCTTTGCTTATTGGAAGCTGAAGCGCCAAGACAATGGCTACAAGCCGCTTATTCAGGAAGATCTGATAATTGTCGCCGATTTGGTAGGCGTTTCCTGTTTCCGGTTTTATCTTATTTTAGGAACGCCTCGTTCTGGAGCGGCTTTCGCTTGATGACGAGGAAGATGAGTCGACGGATGAGAAGAGGAGCCGCGATTTCAAGTCGTCGTCGGTTGAGGTGCGTTCCCAATGTTTTTCTAGAGCCTCAAAATTTCAGAAATGGGCCACACCAACGGCCAGCATTTGTGGTGACGCTGGAGCCGATCGAAACGTCGAGGTATGCTTTTTGGAGCCGGATTTATTTCTGTTTTTTAGGAAACTCCATTGGCATCCTATGCCACACCGCCACAATCAATGGTGCGCAAGCCTCGCACCTCAAAACGACGCCCTCTCGCCGGACTGAATTCGTCGTCCCGTTAATCTAATTACGATGTATGCGACCGATTGATAATTTCCTTTTTGTTGTATTTCTGTTGATTTCAAAACGTTTGGCAAAAATGCAGTTTGTTTGGGCGGGTTTCCATTTTTGGCGGCCGGTTTCGCGAGCGCCTCGCCAACTTCCTCGGGGAGAAAATTTAATAAACGTGGGGTGCCCGGATTTGGGCGCCGGACACAGCACAACGTGTGGCGGAGATGTTGCTTTTCGTGGTGATTTTTTGCTTCATCGGTGAGTAAATATATGTAGTTGGCAAAAACAAGTCTTTTAGCACTCGCCTCAGCGCAGCAGAAGTCATATTACTTTCCGTTGCCGACTGCGAATTGCACGGCTTTTGGGTATATCGAATGCCCGTTGGGTTGGTTATAAGTTTTAGGCCTCTACTTTCTTTTTAAATCTCGGTTTTTGCGTAGCGGGGTCGATCTTAAAGGTCCAACAGGTTTATAACCGGCTTTAGAAGGCGGGTGCCAAAAGGAGATCCGTTACCACGCTGGGCTCGAGGTGGCTCGCAGCTGTGTATTTCTACGCAAGGCCGCGCCTCGTGGGGACGGCCGAGAGCAGCGAGGCAGGACGACGCAGCAACCCCGACGTGTGGCTTCGCGGCTTTTCGGTTACGCGGGGCCTTGGAAGGCCGATGGGATCAGGTTAGCTGGGATTTCTTGACCGGGGTTCGGGATTTTTGGTAATAAGGCCTAGATGACTGGGTATTTATAGCTACTATTTGTAGCACGTTTTTCGCACAAAAAACGGAGGCTTCTTTAATGATGTTTTATTTGCTTAAGTAAGTTGAACTATATTTGATACAGAACGGCTTCTAGAAAGAGTTAGAAAGTCGTTTGAAAAAAACGAAAAATTGGGTCATTTTGCAAACTTGAGTAGAAAATGAATTTTTCACCTTTTTAAATTAAGTTTTTAATTAAAATTTGCGATCTTTTTTGGCGTGGGGATAGTGAAAAAAAATGCACAAACATATCCGAAATTTATTTAAAAAGTTAGGCTTGCGCGGAAAAACCACACATAGCTTTCCAAAATGCCATTCTGGCTTTTTAATTTTGTTTTTGGGCTCATTTCAAGCTGAATAGGTTCGTTTTGTTACTTAGTATCCGAAATTGGTAGCTGATAGTAGCATTGAAGAAAACGGATCTTGCAATCAAAAAAATTCTGATAAAACTCACCCCTTACCAGGTCGTCCGCCCATCATTCGCGTGCGCCAGGGGCCAACAACGGCCCGTCCGGCTGACCGGGCTGACCACCCCGCTTCGCCACCGCCCAACAACATCTACCACCCAGCCGCCGACATCCTTCTCGATTGTTTTTCACGGTGCCGACGCGAAATCTGTCGTCAATGTGTACGGGGAAGGGGGGCGGTGGTTGGTGGGATTGGTTGTGTACGTCCGGGCGCGTCTATGTCGCGCCTATATAAAGACGAAGCGGACGAGCAGAGGCAGAGCAGCAGCAGCAAGGGCCCCACCCCATCCTCGTCTCCTTCCTCTACCCCAACCAGTACACAACTCCTCCAAATACCCACCACACTCACTCACTCACGCTCGACCCGCTCGACAACACGCTCTTAGGGGTGCTCACCCAGGAAAACATAGAAATTCCGGGTAGATACCCCGCTTTTATTCTCGCGTTTATCTATGTTTTTTTCGATTTTAGGTATTTTTTAGGGACCAGCTAGTTTTAATAAGTTTAAACAGTAAACCAGCTTCTGTTTTGGCCATTCCCTGCGTTTTTTTCCAATTTAAGGAATTTTTTAGGGACCAGCGATTTTTAAGATTCTGAGCTACGTTAAACCCCAATTGAAGACCCTTTTCTCGTGCTCATAGGGGCCCAGATTTACATATACCTCTTGTTATTTAATAAAAAAAATAATGATTTGAATAAATGGAGCCTGATACGGAATTCATTTCGTTTTAAGACCTATGCGACGCTTCAAAAAAAAATTCCTGGGTCCCCAGCAAGTTCAAGCCGTTCAGTCACTCCGCACTGACTAGGATCCACAAGTTCGAGCAGTTCGGCTAGCACAAAAATTAGAATCAAGTCGACTTGCTCCAGGGACGTGGCCCCGTTTCGGCTTTCCACTATTCCGGCGATTATCTTTTTTTTTAGCAATTTTAGGCACGTTAAAGGACAGCTAGTTTTAACAAAGTTAAAGAATTGACGTATGCATCACGCTAGATTCCAGTGGACCTTTGGCTTCTAGCCCCGGTGGACGGCATTGGGGGATATATGCGTAGCTCGCTACCGTACGCCTACCGTAGCCCTCGTGCTCTCGTGTCTAGGCCCCTCCCCCTGGCCGCAACTGGCTTGACTCCAAGCTTATTCGAAACCTAGGAAGGTTGAGAAAGTGGTAGGGGAAGGGAAATAGGTCCAAAAAGTGAAGTTTTTAGGGCATTCGGCAAAGATATCGATTTTGCTACATTTTTCTGGCTTTTAGCGTTTCTTCGGAGGTTTTTCAGGTTCATGAGCTGTAGGTTACCTATTAGTTATTGAATTTAAAGTTTGAAGCTGAAGGTACGGAGCGTCCTGACGTCGTCCTGACTCTGGCGCAGTCGGTAGAGGTCTGGGCTCTGCGGTTTAGGGCGTGGGTTCGATCCCAGTCGTCACATAACTTTTGCTTTTTGCATTAGGACATGATTTTGGTATTTCTTTAATATGGATTTATCTGCCGCAGCCTTAAACGATTAATTTTTCTAAATAATTCGAGGGAAACCCCCCCTTTTCCCTCCACCCCTGAACTGCATCACCTTCTTCACCAGGATGGGGATGAAGGAGGGGGTTGAGGGTCCCAATTTGGGCATTGTGTCCCTTCCCCTCACCTCCCCGTTCGTCCAGGGTGGATATGGGGAAATTCTAGAGGCTGGAGGAGGTAGATTGAGACTAGAGACCGGATAAACCCAGAGGCCCAGACCCTTGTTTTTCAGGGGTTCCACCCCGACTTTTTCTCTCGCTTTTTTGGCCATCCACGGGGGTGGCAGGGGCAAAAAACAACCGTCTGGGTGCCTGCGACCCGGAATTGACAATTTTAGTATAGCGATAGAGATAGAGAGAGAGAGCTAGAGAGAGCGAGAGAGAGAGAGATAGAGAGAGAGAGCCAGAATAACGCAGCCACCGAATAACAAAATCGCCGGAGCCGCTGGCTGGCCGGGGTTTTTTTGGCGGTGATAGTCTGGAAATTTTGTGGACAAAAAATCGTGAGCGAAAATGTAGATATTGAAATCGACCGAGGCTAGGAGCTGGGAGCTGGGAACTTAACCGTTAACTTGTTAACTTCACCGAGTGATTTACTGACGAATGTTGCACTTATGTAGGCCGTAGCACGTGCTCCTTCTCCTTATCCTGCTCCTTCCCTGCTTCAGCTACTAGCTTCCAGCTTCCAAAAAGTGTCAGAAAAGAGAAACTTTGCGGGGCTCGGCTGGGAGCTGGGAGCAAGGAGCTTGCGGGAAGCGGATTGAGCGCAAAGCGTTTGTTTCCTGTTCGTTGGCGGTGAAAAGTTTTTGAAGCTTTGAGAGGCTGCTTTTCTTGCCAGTCTTTCATAAAACAAATTTCACAGCTTCTCAATTCTCTAAAGGAGATATGGGGGAAGCCCGGAGTTGCGAGGAATTGAGCTGCGTTGCGTGCGCTTCGCGGGCGCGTTGCGTGTGCATTTGTGCCACAAACCTTGTACTTAGGTTTTCTCCAAGCCACTTCAAGCTATTCCAAACTATCCGAGTGTGCAGCCAAATTCTGAAGCTCCCGATCCTTAGCTCCCAGCTCCCACCTCCCAGCTATCGAGCCGCAGAAAAGAAAATCCGATTTTTCACCCTGACAAATCATCAGTTAGACAAATTCGCCCCTGCCCGTACTTTTGAGTATTTCGGAGTAGCGTACTGTACCGTAGTTGGCCTATCTGTAAGAATTTTTGTGAGAATTTTGTAAAGCTTCTTTAAGAAACCATTTATCTACTCGTCGATATGCACGCCAAAAATCTCATTCTCGACCTCTTCGGCATCTTTGCCACCTCCGTATTCACGACACCGGGTACGGTGGTCCGGAAGCAGGGTTACGGTAGTTTCGGGCATTATTGGTCGTTGCGTGGAGTCTAGCGGAATTTCGACACACACCACTTGACGCACCTTGGGCAGGGTATTGAAACGGAATCTGGCGATGGCTGCTGCCCCGGCTACGAGGCATCGCTGTCAACAGTTCCCGGTTGGGGAGATAAGGTTTATTTTTAGAGGGCTTGCGGCTTTTGCAGCTTTGCAGGGGAGTTCAAAGATCCGAGTAGGTGGAAAATGCCGAAAACACCTTGAAAAAATCTGTAAATGATCTGTCGACGCTAGGGCGTCAGGTGGAGCATGGCGTAGTTCTGTTTCTAGCTCCACGGCGCTCCAATCGACGCGAGAATTCTGGGACTTCTTCGCATTAATTCTAAATGTTTCCTGGACGTAGTAAAATTTGGATGGTTCGTTAGAATAAATAGCTGACGCTCAAAAAACTAACTTCAATGACTCTGTGACTGTTTTTGCATTGTAGCTCGCAATTTCCCGATGGTCGCTTTTTAAAGGGATTGGCAAGGCCTCACTATGGATTTGGGTCTCAATTCATATTCCTATTCCTTGGCAGAATGCCGACGTTTAATAAACCGACAGGCCTAGGTGCCGACATCTATAATTTCGACATCCAAAATACCGAAACTTGGTTTGCTGTCGGCATTTTTGCCGTCGGCATTAAGCTTCTAGGGAATTGGCTGCCAGGTTTACAGCTATCGCCTTTTGGGCTGTCGGCATTTTGTCTGTCGGCATTTTTGGCTGTCGGGAATAGGCTATTGCGATTACCACGGTTTTTCACGATTAGCTCTCGAGTTTTTCTGTTGAAATTTGGGCTGTCGGCATTTTGTCCGACGCAACTTTGGCTGTCGGGATTTTGGCTATTGAGATTCTGACGGTCGAGATTTCATCTGTGGGCTTTCTCCGTCTCCATGACCGGAATTCAACCAATATTCCAAAGTGCTCCGACCCCCCATCCCCATCAATTTTTTTTGCAACATTCCGGAGAGTTCTGGGCGGCCTGGAAGCGAGGGTGGCCGTGCGATTCGAATGCACTTGCCCTCCCACTGGCCAGATGCACTATAAACAGCCCTACTCCCTGGAAAAGACAGAAAAGACAGAAAGACACAGCTACACGACAGCTCTCCCAGCCATTCGGTGGGGGTTCCCTGCTCGATGACGTCGGAGGGTGGCCGGGGAGTGTGGTGTGTACTTTCGAATGCTAATGCCGCTCGTTTCGCTAGGCTCATAAATATGGAAATGGGGCCTGGCTTTAATGGCATTTTCGGGAGATTACAAGGATACTAGGAAACGGTAGAAATTGGGTTAACGGAAAGGGTAGGCTAGCAGCGATCAGCTGGGGAAATCGCTGACAGAAAATCTCGACAGGCACAGTCACGATAGGCCGCAATCCCGACATATTCTTGATGCTAATATTCCTTCTAAACAGCGTTTTAGATGTCGAGATTATGGTTCTTGTGATTTTTCGGTCGGATTTTTGGCCTTTTTGATTATAACGGCAAACTAGCAAAGGCCATTTGAGAGTAATTTCCGCTGATTTTAACAAAAATCGATGGATTTTCAAACCTTTCGATCCCGGCAAACCAGCAGAAACCATTTAGGAACCCG